GTAGGATTCACTGATCCAAGGACAAAGCATTGGTCCTAAAAAATTCCATCTTTCCTATGATATGATTTATGAACATGTAACTAACACTATCGGGTCATAAAAGTTTTCCATTTCAGAAAATGACCTTCCAATGTCAATTAGAGGTCAAATAAAGAATTGACCTTGAATAACCTTGAGCACTTGAACTTGTGCAATCTGGATAAGCTCATGGTTCGAGTCTGAAGTCTGTAGCACTATCCGTTCGTGAGTTATGCCTGCATGAAGGCGTGAAACGAAAAAAACCCCGGTATTGTTTTTAAAAGTACTCATTACAAACCTTGGACCAACTGTGGTAACCATTGTCAATACAATGATAAACATTACAAATTATACAATTCAATCAGCACAATCAAAATGATGGAACCAAAAATTGAGATGTTTCAATAGATATCTTTACCAAGTAAATATTGCTCTTCAAAGGCCAAATAAAAATAAAACATTCAACAGGTTAACCAAATATTCACCTTAAGTAACTCGATAAACTTGATTAAACAAGGTAACAAACAAGTGTAAACTTGGTCATTTCATATGCAAATCAGGTTAACCATTGATAAAAACAGAGGATCGTCTTTCACTTGAAATACCCAGTAATATAATGGTCATTCACCAAGATCTTACACTTAACTCGTAATGTTTTCATTCCGAAACAATGTCAATGTTTATCTTTAAATTGTATTATTTGGAGACAATTTAACACCAGAATGATTATGATCAATACAAAACTAGAAAATAAAGGAAAGCAGAAAGGTTAAAAGGTGAATTTGAATTCAATTGTAATCGGATTATACCTAATTTGGTTATTGTTGTAAACCGTTATGATTAGACAGATAAACCAGAACTATTCATTTCTAATATAATCAGCATTGACCCATTGTTGAAATGGATTCATAAGCCTTTCACTTTTCACTTTGACGGGACAAAAAGGATGAGATGATGTCGATAATAACAATAATAGGTTGTTGTGACAAGACAATTTTGAAAATGCTTTGAAATTTGAAGTTAACAATAACAGCAACAATAATCAAGGTTAATCACAATAATTCATAAATCCATTTATAGCCAAAAAATTAGATTAACCAGTCGGCAGGTTAAAGGTCAGTTGATCATAACATTGAGTAAATGGATTTCCTAGTTTTTTTGGTTAAAGAGTTGAAAGGATTGAAACGGAAGATGATGTAGCTGGTGATGATGTTGACCCCCTTCGTATGGTCAGTTTGCTTTCAAGTCAATGACAAAGTGAATTATGATTACTCAGAAAATATAATAATTTAAAATAAACTTTTGCTTCTTCACTTTTTTCATCATTTCTTCAGCTTTTTTCCTTCCATTTCTTTTTGCTTGTTTCAAAATCAATTCTTGTCCATTGAAAAGCAATTCATCATAATTTTCATTTGTTGAACATTGTTACTTTACAAATGATCATTGTGAATGACCAACAAGAGAAAGTTTTACTTTCTTTGTGAAAGAGAAAGTAATAGGCCAAGGATGAGGACCAAAACTACCTGGGGTTCATCAATGGACATGGAAATGGCCTTGGCCTTGGTGACTCCAATATGTATCTCTGTATGAGATCAAATGTTGATGGTGATGATGATGTTCAACTTAATGTGTTTAAGAAGCAATAACGATGAGCATCATTTAATATTTCAGACTTCTTCTTCTTCCTTCTTTATTTTCCATCGTCTTCCTTATCGGCCTTTTTTGTGTGTTAAGGAACAGGCTAATAGATGTATGTATCTCTTCATTTATGTTTAAACCATACGAAATGTTCAACAATTGAAAAATGATTACAAACTATCATCAGCTTCACATGATAATCACGAGTCACTCTGCAGGTCACATTTACAGTTTGGCTTTTTTGGTTGATTGTCCAATCCTAGACTTTCATATCTGTAACTGGAAAATAACAGAACTGAGTTAGTTGGATCATAATTAGTAGTTAATTACCTTATTTGAAATGTTTGGCTTTTGTTTAAATTTGGGCAAAAAATACTTGACCAATCTCCATGTTTTTAAAACATAAGATATAAATGAACAAAATTGATCATTGCAGATAACTGCTTAGTTAACAATCAGAGTTAAATTGTCTAATCTATTATTCTTTAGTGAAAGAGTTACAAGCATTTGATGAAAATAGCAAAAGATTGCGATCGAGCGATAAACAGATGTAATAATTTTACAAGCTAAACGAGTGTTTTCGATCAATGTTTGCGTTTGTTTTTTATGTAAAAAACGAGTTGAGAACAAGATGGATTGTCAAAGTTTTTGTAATTTAACTTGTAAATGTCTTTCTTGCAATTCCAACAATCCTTTGAGTTAACTAAGGTTACTTTGATGAACAGTTATCTTCATGACAATCGATTGACAAACGATATCTGATTTCGTCCTCTTCATCTCCAGAAACATAAAACTCGGCTAAGGTTTCATCCATTGCCTTGTCTTCATCTGACTTTCTCGTCCCTTGCTGGTCATCCCGTTCCTTCGGCTTCTCATGTTTTCTTTGTCTTTTAGATATATGACGATAAAAGTGATGATGAGAGGATAAGATGTAAAGATGTTGACTAAAATGATAAATGAAAAGAAAGGAGAAAAATGACATTAATAGACTTAATAACAGTAGTCGATATGATCTTAGTTGTTTGATTTTATCAATTAAGTTTGATACCTTCAGTACAATTGATTATTTTAATTCAATTTTCTGAGTATTAAGTTTCATGAGTGATTGGAAGACAGACCAAACATTATCAACTGTGTTAATCAACAACTTATACTCACAATTGTCAGCATTTCTTAAAGCTTGAAAGGTTTGTCAGTTAATCAAAGAAACAACTGAAAGAATCATTTTCATATTCAATAGCATTGTGACTTTTGGTTATTATTAGTGTAATGCAAGTGAAAGACTGTTAATTATGGTATATATCAACATTTTAATGGTTGGATAATTCATTTTACCTTTGGGATAACATTACATTAATGTTAATTTAACTAACAAAATCTCAGTTAATGGTCTATTGGTTTAGGTTCCCAAGAAAGATCATCAACTGATATAACGCAAATGAACACGAATAATCAAACAGGTAAAGTCAAAGAAGGAATCAACTTTTAATTAGCTAATATTAGTGGCAATGCAAATCACGTATTGTTAATTTGATTAAAGGTAAGTAGCAATGAAGGTTAGTGCAAGATTAATAAATATAAATTTCATCGTTTTCATTGGAGAAGCAATCATTAGCAAAGCTATGGGAGAATGAAATCCTTACTTCCATTTCAAAATGATTTCTTATTTCAACGGAAAAATGCCCATCAACGAAAAATCAAGTGTAAATCTAAGTCTATGGTAACCACTGAGTTATCGGAACTATTATTTTATGCAACAAAATCGTTATTTAGTTTGTTGTTCAACAAGCTCTCATAGAAATTTGTAGCATTGTAGGATCAGTTTTGGATTATTGCAATAAAGAAATTTCATTTGAAGAAATGAACAGTTCTTAACATCCTAGAGATGATAGTTTCTTTATAGACACTCATTGGACTGCTTTCAGTTGTCAGACTTAATAGACTGGTTTGTTGTTGCAAAACGCTTCAGAGCATAACCATCAAGAGCACGAGTCACACTCTCCTCATCTCATCTGCATCACCATCATCAGCTCATCTTATTGGTCCCATTATCATTATTACGCGTGCTCATCATAAACAGAAATACTAGAAACAAAAAGAAACGATCCTTCGCTTAACCCACTTTCCATATGTTTACCTTTATTTTTTTGTCTTTCAACCTTAATCTTATTCTTTTTCCATTTTCTTTTCTTGGTCTTCAAACTGTCTTGGAAAGGCGAATTTCATGCTTCCATACCTTTAACCAAAACAATATCGATCAATGACCCGCATGTAAGGCGACCTTTAGCATAGGTTGTGTTTGATATAGTTTCCAGTTACGAAGACAGTTTCAAGGTTTAAATGCGCCTTAATCAAAAAGTCAGCTATCTGATTAATCAGTTTGCAAGAATATTAGGATACAATGACAGTCTGATTTGAATGTTCAACAGCAAAGCCCAGTCTTGAATCGCGATGCATCAAGCAATCATCGCCATATTACACACAGGTAAGGTCAACTTCCCCGATATTGGTCAAACAAAAGAGCTCCAGCCACCAAACCAATTGACAAGTGAGTGTGAATGATTTATTAACAGACTCACACTGAAATCCAGATAAAAGTTTGCCATTGCAATCCAAAAGCTTCACTTGAGATAAATTTAGATGGTAAATAGTACCTTGGCCTTCATTTGCTATGTGCACCTATTCTCAGTCAAACATTGAATCTTTTGATTAACCCACTTTAATCCCTAGAAGTTTTTAGGTAAGCCTAAGTGCGTGTGAGCCCTTCTAATAGTAAAGAAATGTAAAAGAAAGGTTACTCGTCAAATAGTCAGAATTGCACTTGCCTTAAATTTTAACTCAGTTTTCCTTACATATACGGCAAAAAGACAAATTTGGTGCTTTGATAATACCTGAAAAACTATGTGAACCTGAATGATGAATCAGTGTCAAAATCAATGTCAGTGTCCATACCGGGCGTTTTTTTCATTTTACGCCTTCATGCAGGCATAACTCACGAACGGTTGATGCTAGACTTCAGACTTGAACCACAAGCTTATCTAGATTGCAACGATAAGTTCAAGTGTTCAAGGTTATTCAAGGTCAATTCTTTATTTCACCTCTAATTGACATTGAAAGGTCATTTTCTGAATCACAAAATTTTTCTGGCCGCATAGTGTTAGTTAAATGTTCATAACTCATCCTAGCTGCAGGCTATACGTGATCCCTTCACATTCAATTGATCAGGAAAATTCATTCTATTTTTCCAATGCGATGAGTTATGCACATGATAATGAAATTCAGAAAATGACCTTTCAATGTCAATTAGAGGTCAAATAAAGAATTGTCCTTGAATAACCTTGAGCACTTGGACTTACCTTTATAAAGCAAAAAATAATTCAAACAGTATGATTCTTTCCAAATCAGCTTAATGATAAGCTTCGAAATTATCAATTACAAAAAACCGTCATAAGGACGAGGACCAAAAGAATAGGGGGAACATGATTTTGGATAGAAGGGCTTCAATATGCCTGGTTTCATGATTACGTAAACAGGCGCAAGACTAGCTAATCCATCAGTTTTGTTCTAATCAACTTGCTGGTTTGTTATGAAAGATTTGACAAATCTGTTCATTTCCCAAATTTCAACAATAACTGTCCAATCTATTTGGAATTTAAATAGTTAGTTGCAATTCACATGCAAGTTGAATTTTCTTATCAAGGTGAAACTAGATTTTTCCAAGTTTACCGCAGATTTTGCCCCTTACGGCCCTAGTTTATTCAAATTGTGCAATATACCTTCAGACAGGACAACTCGCCGTTATCTGTTTGTGAGACTCTTCAGACGGCGGAGATTACGTTTTTCTATCAGAAACTTACATCCATATTGCCTTAGGTATCGAAGATTGGTGTTAAGTGTGGGGCCTTTCGGCAGATATAAAGGGGATTTCTTCCACCTGATTCCGGAAGAGATTTATGACTTTAATGCAAATAGCTGAAACCAAGATATGGCTCTTTCCAGACCATCAAAAAGGAATTACAATTGAAAGATGAAGATGTAGAAACATTTATCATTGACGGTAAGTCGCTTTTTGAAATATAAAAAGATTCATAACATTTCAGTCTAACCCTTTTTCATATTTGCGAACCAAGTTAGTGGAAGCAAAAATGATCGAGTAAACAAAAAATCACCGGTCACATCTACAATGCATCGAACATTCGGACGAAAACAGTGGCAACAATTAAGAGATACACGTCTCTTAAGTGTCTACAAAGTCTATAGAATTGACATTGTTACGCATTATCTTTGTGTAACTCTTTATGCCAAATCTTCTAGCAGTTTCTTTACTCTGGTGAAAATTATTTTTGATTTTTTCTTGTTTAGGTTTTCCTCCTTCAGCCGTTCAAATCCTGTAACCTGCCAAGAACTGTAATTTTAGTAATATTTTTGTGCAAAATCTTGGACAGAAGTGGACAAAGTGTTTCCCTTTAACAGTATAATTTTCAACATAAAAGGAAACAGCTATTGTAATCATCTTTCATCACCTTTCCATCGACACCACTTGATAAAACCAAACTCAACCTGGACATTAAAATTTGGGTCAAGTACAAGCAACACTTTCTGTTTTACTTTCAATTGAAACAAACCAAAATAACGGGATAAAAAGTGAACAAGCAACCCAACAATGGATGATGTTTGGTTACCTTTCTTGACACACGCCATCGAAAAATACCTCTTTTTATCATCATCATCATCATTTTAATACGCATCATTTGGTATCATCTGCCGTTTTAATCATTACCATCATTATTATGACTTTTTGACTATCTACATAATAAATGTTTAAGGTTAAAAAGGCCCAACAGTGCTATTGACAGGTTAAAAAGATGGACAAGTTGGATTTAATGGAAAATAAAAGGTAAAAATAAAATACCAATGAAAGTAAAATTACACATCAACAAACAGAGACAACAATGTTACCACTTTTTGATTGTACTTTTTTTAATTACAATCATGATTATGATGGCAAAGATGAAAATTTATTCCAGCATGACGAGTAAAGTTATGTTAAATCCTCCTCCTACTATTCATCTCTCCACCTTAACCTCCTCCTCGTCTGAATGACTCATCCCTTGTTATTCCCATTTTACCCGCTAAAAGACAAATATAAATGATCAATTAATAACTTTGCATTTTATCTTGATCATTTAATCTATCTGCAACTTATTTCTAATTTATGCATTTACCTTTTCAGATTAACTCGATAATTGCTTGAATTATCATCATAAACAATCTCAAGTCTTGCATTATTATCACCTTGGGTTGGATTGCATATTAAAATATATTCTGGAAGACGATGGCAAAGGTAAAGATGGCGCTTCTCGGTTTGAAAACACAGGTAAACATGTTGTTCTATATCCAATCAGGTAACATTTGGAGTACAAAAGGCGTCCCTAAAAACTCTCTCTTCTTACCTATGTTTGTTTGTTTCTAGTTTTTGAATATTGCTTGGCTTTTGGATGCAAACTTACCTTCAATCTACAAGTTGACCTTTTTTTACTTTCCTTTGTATCTTTGGTTTAGACTCGTTTCTCAACTTTACTTTATTTTTTACCCATTTTTTACTCCTTGTGTGTATCCATCATTATTTTTGAATGTCTCTGGCATTGGCACCATTATTCAACACCAATATGGAGATGAATAAACATTATTGGCTCAAAATGGAAGATGAAACCAGTACATCGTCGATTTTCTCAACGTCCACAGAGTTTTCAACCACTTCAACGCAATTAACATCATCTGAATACTCATCATCCACTCAAGTATCTACAATCTCAACAACAACGTCCAATTCATCACCAATTAAAGGTATTGTCAAAGTTACTTCAGCTTAATTAACCCTCAAATTTATTCAATATTAGAGAGTGAAGTTGGTCAACTAAATCCTCTAGACAAGTGCCCTTTGCAAATAGTAATTTGGAATGGATCTAGTTCATGGTTATCTAAAATGAATTTAGTGACTAACTTGTTTATCAATTACTCGTCATTGTTAATCATTTAGAAAATAATTGAGTATTTCATTCTGTTTATACTTACTTGATTGATGAATGGACTGACAGAAAAAGTTCTTAAAGCGTTTAGTCTAATGACCTGATTGCGTTTTCAGTGTCAATTATGTGTTTTGTATCCAAAATGTTGAGGACTTTTGTGAAAAAAAGGATAAAAAATGAACTCTTTTTGGCTTTGAGCTACAAACCTTTTCTTACAATGTTAGTAGCAATCCTTTTTGGTGAACAAGTTAGCCAAGCTCATCTAGTAATGATAAACATCGTGATCATTGAAGCTAAAATTGGGAGAAAATCAATTTGTATCTTTTGATTAATATTTAACTTACTCAAATGTATGTGATACTCAAATTGCTCATGGTTACAATTATTCTAGTTGAATATTACTTGGATTGCATGTCAATGAAAGTAGTTATTCATGTGAGGTTTAGCTTTTGACTGAGATTAATTGAAAATAAAATATTAACCCTTGGATATCTTGCATGGGACAGTTAACAGAGTAAATAAGGTGCTAACAGGTTAAAGGTTAATTGCATGGTTTCTTTGATCTCTTTTGTTCTTGCCATTACTTGATTGATCACTTTAAATTGTTGAGCGGCCTTTGTATTGTAATAACAAATCTTGAACATTTTCTGAAACTTTCTGTCTCGTTCTTGAGTATCTTCATTATTTTGTACAAGACTTGCTGTTACTGAAACAAAGTAATTGTAGTAATTGTCATTGTAAAATGATCGATATGGATCCATAGGTGCATTAAGTTAACAAGTTAATTCACAATGTCTAATAATGTTCCCAACTGATGACCATTGTCTCTAAATTTCTGTTAAAATGTTGAAACGCTCAACTCATTTTATGAAAAATTTTAATTGAAACTTTTTTCTACTTCAATAAATAGGTGAAAACGAAAGCTTATTATCAAAATTGAGCAAAACGCATAAAAGTAAACAATTACCATCGACAACTACGAAGAAGCGACGAATGGCTGCAAATGCTCGAGAACGAAAGCGAATGAAGAGTCTTAATGTGGCCTTTGATATGTTACGGAATAAAGTCCCAAAGCTTCCCGATGCTAAAAGACAATTGTCCAAATATGAAACTCTTCAAATGGCCCAAACTTATATCGCATTGCTCAATGAAATGTTGGTTTCCGATTCAATACCTGGCAGAGCCTTAACACCAGCTTCAACTTGTGTATAAAAAGTTGATATTTTACATCATTTTTATCTTTTTTTAAATATTTTTATATTGTAATATTAAATATTGTATATGTAATCAAAGTTATGTAAATAATTCAATAAATTATCACAATATATAACTTCAAAATACGACTGAAATTATTACAATGAAATGAGGGACAAAATTCATTTATTAGTTATTAGTATTAATAGTTGAGTAAGCTTTTCAATTGTTTTACATTTCTATTTTCAAATGATTTTCAATTAGCCTTTATCAATTGCAATTTATAAACAGTAGCAATCAGTTATGATCTAAATTAACTTTGCAATTGTAATTATTGCAATGATTGTTAAAATTAGACTTTTGGTTAGATAATTGTTATCAATGTTAATTTGATTATAGCGGTTCGTCTCATTTGTACTCATTAAAGTGCGATTCAAATTAATTTGAATAACCACACAAAATTTCAAAAATTGTTTTAAACAACTGACCAACCCTGTCTGCATCTCTTTCACCTTAACTGACCTGAACTAACATAACGTTAGAATGTTAAAGTTAAGAAGAAATTTGTAAGCAACAAGAAAAGGTAAACGGAAATTTTGAGATTCCTATGGTAAGTACATCTTAAGTTACTTCAACCGTCTTCAATTGTGGCAAATTTTGGTGAATTGTGTCCATCCTTGGTGATTCTTAATAGATATTTCATCGTAATTTTGTGGACATTTATCATTTCTTTAGTTTGAAATGGCAATATCTCAATGGCTAATTGTATCAACAGGTAGCTGTTGAAGTTTCCTTTTGTTTGCTTTCCATGGTTAATAATAAATTGTCCTTTGATCGCTGACATTGTTGGAGGTCGGTGGATCTTTCGGCTTTGAATTGTGACCTATGGTGAAGTAAATAAAAAAGGATAGAGTTAACAGTTGAATTATTATGTAAATAAATAATGAATAATTGTATACCAATTGAGCTGTTATTGACCTGGGCTCAATGACAAGGTTAAATGTAGAAATGGATAATAAGACGAAGACGATGGCGAAGATCAAGTCAAGTTGTAATCATTGAGCCGATCAATTGTGAGCCTTGATAATTAGAGGCAAGAAGATGAAGAAGATAATTGGTGAATTAAAAGACGCGTAACGAAGTTTATTTTTTGTGTAAAAAACACAATTAAATGACAATGATGAAGTGGATGATAAAAAAGGCAAGTGACTGGGTTTTGTGAAAAATTGCGGGATTTGTCAAGTAAATTTATTGTCAAGTAATATCATAACTTGGCAAATGTTCAAATTGTTTAATACATGTGCTAAATTTTAACTCATTCATTGAATTAAAAGCTAAGTGCTGCTGTTTCATTTTCAATTTAACATTTCACATATTGCTGAACTTTATGGGAATTGACTACTTCAAGATAACATAATTTTCAATATGTTATTTTAATTGTTACTTATCAAGAGTAAGGATTAAATTCGCCCATTTAATGATTGGTTTTGAGACCAAAAAGGCTAAAAATCAAACGAAAAGAAGAAGATAAAAGTGCTTCAAAACAAGATGATCTTTCAAGCATATCAATCTAAAGCACGAGCCACTCTTTATCATCCAGCTTCATCCCATTGGTCTGATCATCATTTACACGCGCAATATTTATTTTCATCGCCAGGTAAGAAGAAAACAAAAAGACGTAAATAGAGAAGAACCTTAACCTACTCTCCATATGTTTATCTTTGGCTTTCAATTGGCAATATTCTTATTCTTTGCTCATCATTGACAAACTGCTTGGTCCAAAACAATTCCGTTCAATGACCCGTAGCTTTATTCGAGTTCACATTTTGTTTCATCTAACCCATTAGCTTTTGCCATGTTAATTTAGCTTAATAGAGGCTTCGATCTTCTTCTCTTGACGGCTTTGGTTAAAGTCCAGTGTTGAGCATTCCCTTAATGTATTAATAAATATTACTTTGACCGCAAAAAAAGTCAAAAGTAACCATACACATCGAGATAAACCATGAAATACTCCTACAAATGGATCCAAGAAAACGGCTATTCTTTGTGCATTTGACCTTTACCTCTTTCTAGAGTCGCCTTAATGAACAGGTTCAAACAGTCATTAAAAGTTGACAGTCTATGAAAAGTAAGAAAAAAAGAGTTAGTATTCAAACAAAAGATGGGACCAAAGATGTTGACATGAATGTAAAGTCTAGTTGACTAAATAATGTCCACTTTGGAGAGTCTCTATTGTTACTTGAAATTGTTTTCAAGTTTAACAGTTTTTTCCTCTTTTCAAATAATGTACCATTGTTTCTCATCACCTTTTCTTCCTCCTCCTCTTCACCTTTCGTCACCTTCATGATCATATAATTTCAACTTGCGTTTAAACAGCAAATATGAGAGGTCAGGTAATTGGCATCGTTAAAATTAGATTAGTGTTCTTACCAAGTAACCTTAAGACCTTTGCAAATGACCTCAACTTCTCGATGAAATAAAAAGACAAAATGTACGATTTAACTTTAACATTCCGTTATGAATATTCTAGCACCATAAGTGCCATTAAACAACAACAAATCATATTTCTATTTATCTCTCTTCTTTACTCTTTGCTAGAATTGGACTTTTATTGATAAACTTTGCTTCTTCATTAACTTTACCTGCACTCAACAGCATCCAATTGTGATCTTGATTTAATCTGAACAATCTATTTCTAATTTACCTTCAATTGACCTTAATCTAGTTGGAATCATCGTTAAGACGGTTTAACTGCCTAAAAGTAAGAACTAACTAACAAATGAGTTTTGACTCGTAGTAAAGGTATAATCATGATTCTTACAATATCTCAATAAGTTAACTGATATCACTAGAGACTCTCAATCTAAACGGGAAATGTTTCAATGAAATAAACGGAATATAATGAATATAATCAAGTTAATTAAATTTACTTGTTAAGAAGCCGGCACGAGGATTTAACACATTACCTTAACTTGGTATTAATAACAATGTTTGTCTAATTGTTGCCTTACCTGTGAAAATGTATTTATATTAACAAGACCAAGATGGCGACAGTCAAGATGAAAGGTTAACACCAATGTGAACATGATTGATTGAAGTTGAGCTAAAAGTGAGAAAGAAAGGGTTAGGAATTAAACTTAACTGGGTTAATCATTTTCTCATTAAATATAAGCAAATGGGTTAACAAAATGTCTTTTACACTTCATTTCTTGTTCGGACCTTTTAGCCTTATTTTGGTCTCATTTGGGACTAATTTGGGTTTCAGATCTTACAGCTTGTAAGAGTTACTAATCATAACTTTGAAACATTTTTCTCACTTCTTACCATGTCACTATCATTATCAGCAACTTTAACAATTCTTGTTAGTAATTTCCGTTAATTCTTGTTTTGTATTATTGAAAGTTTAACAAGAAAATGCATGTATTTTCATATAATGATAATGATGAAGTTAAAAAATGAAAAAATAACGAGTTTTGGGTTAAAAGCAAAATCATCTTTTTTCAAGCAAAAAAGCTACTCAACAAAAAAGGTAAGATAATTATATTACTTTTCCTAACATAATGATATTAACAACAGTTGCTATTAGTATTTTTGTAATGATTAACTCTGCTCATTGTCAGCTCAAAAGAGTGTACAATTAAATGGCGAATTAAAGTGCATAACTAAATGTCTCTAATTCATTTGGAATGGTGAAGAAGTGCAAATATTAACCGAAACCTTTATTTTGTGAAATTTGCTCTATTTGTAACTGTGTTATATGAGACTAATTAATTAGATCAACTCTTAGAAGCCAATTCAATGGTTATCAACAAATGTAATTGAACAACCAGCTTACCTTTGGTTGTTAACATTAAAATAACCTTAGGCAATGTTAGGCCTAAGCGTGGTTTACTGTTATTGACATTTTGATGGGTTTACTAACCTTATTTTTGAGCCTAAAATAAAGGCGAAGAAACAAGAAGGAAGATATTAGGGAAGATCACAATGGAGATGATGAGAAAGCAAAAGATCCTGAGATGATTCGTGAGCGGCAGATCAAATTTTACATTGATGTTGTTGAAGTTTCAAGAAGCCGTTGTTTTCAAGTTGAAAGGTCAATGTTATCCAATATAATTAACTCATTCACATTGATTTATTATTTAATTGAAGTAACGCTGAAACAATAAACCGCATGAACAGAAGTTGTTAGTTTTGCACTCATACTAACGATACGAGTAATAATTTTTGATACTTTTGTAAGTTGGAAGCTCAAATTGAATCAAATTGACTTTTCTTAAGCACTTTGTCTCACAATAATCTCCACTTTGTCAAGCCTTGAACAATATTTAGTAGAATCCCAGAAAAAAATTGTCTCCAATTGAAAAGATGTTAGATTTGAATGAAGAAGGTTTGATTTCAATCTTTTGACTTACATTTAACTCATTGTCTTTCTTAAATTCACTATCTGAATGTATTATTTGAACTTTATATTTGCATTCAGAGTTACTAATATTTGCTTGACAGTCAATATTCCCGGGTCGTACTAAAGCCATATCATGCGCATAGCTATTATAATTATGTTTGGCGGTTTTTTTGAAATGTTCATTTCGGAGGCAGTTTTGTTAATTAAAGTTCAAGACAGAAGATCAGACCATTTTGGTTGACCAATTGTGTCTTCTGAAAGCCCGGTCACTATAAATTATTGTTGTAAATTTTAAAATAGACTATTTTGTTTTTTAAAAATATTTATTTTTAAGTACAAACCCTTTAAGTAGAGCTACTCTTCATATGAACCTTGTTAACACGATGTTACCGTTTTCTCGCAAATTTTAGTTACTCTTGATTCAGTTTTACCACCAAAGAAGCTAAGGAATACCAGTGTTATTTATACTTTACATATTTATTTTAATCATAATGGTTAAGTGATTATAAACATTGGTTCCAATTGCATGTTCAAAAATGTTTACTTGATGTATCTTACGGCGATCAAACCTGCCAATCATCTTGTTCAATTTTGGTCTAATTTTTGCGAATGTCACCGATCAGAAGCAAGAAACAAATGCTGACAAATAATCATTGGTGATTAGACCAAACATGAAGGTGTTAATCATTGATACATTGAAACCAAGTCAGGCTGGTTTGGTCACGAAGAAACCAGAAACTAATAATTATGGTGCGTATAAACCCTTTAACATGGTTTTTAGTTGAGCAAAGCAACACAATCTTTTCTTGTCAGTTTGATATGTAATAACAGGAATAAGAGTCTAGTAGCAGTTCATTCCTTATCAATTCAACTTTATTTCAACCAGAATTTAGTGATTCCCTCATCTTTTTCGTCCTCTTCTTCCTACTTACACTTATCACTTGAATCTTTTCTTGACAGCAAGAAGTCTTTGTGTAAAGAAAAGGTAAAAACGAAACAAAAGATTTTTTCTCAAGAAAATCTCTTTTTTTGTCTTATGTGCTTTCGCTTTTACCTTTAACACTTGACCAATCTTTATCCAAGCGAAAGTACAATAGACAGGAAAACTTATATTGTTGTGGTCAACATGATTAACATTATCTTAACTTTTTTTATACATTTTCACTTGCAGTTATCATCATCATCATCAAATTCACCAAGATTTGGTTGGTCAACTTGACGAAGAAACTGTCGCAAGGAAAAGTTGAAAATTTACGATTTTTTTATTGTATTTGTCTAATAATGGATGGATAATTACACTTGATCGAGATTAAGGTTGAAGTTTGGGATTTGTACACTATGCCATCAAATAGTTTCTGGCAAAATGTGATCCTTTGGCTGAACTTCCGCAAGGCCACCCAACCATTTGTAATGAAACTTGACACAAACTTTGTTGGTGACTTGTATTTACTTTTGTGTGTGTGTCTATCAATGGTGATGATATTGACTGATCTGCTGTTAAATTGAACCAATCTGATAATCATCAGAACCTGCCTTCACCAGTATTCATTGTGTTACTGTATCCATATTTAATCATCGTATTTTTGAATCTTCTCTTGACTTTGTTAATCACTGCTAATGAATTGTCTTTACAATTGTCTTTTGTTTAAAATTGATAATATAACTGAAGCACTCTCAGATCATCATAGTCAATAATGTTACATTTTGTGGCTAATTGTGGTCCATCAAAACAGCTACTTTCAGTATTACAACTTCGTTATTAAAGTAATTCTGTGATAACCGAATAACGCCGGGAAAATGAGTAAATTAACACTGAAATTTGTGATCTTTTTCCTGGTTGCTTTGATTGACTCAACAAAAGTCAACAGCAAGAAGTCGAGTTTAATTTATCCCTTCACAAGATTGGCCTTAATCGACCTTAACCATATTTTTATTGAAAAAATTTCCTCTTATGCTTTTTATGCTTACATACGAACGATGCTTATACTCATGTCAGTATTTTAAAAATGATATTTTGTTAAATCTCTAAGAAATAGATTTGAATTATTAGACAAATTGATATCAAATTCATCAAATTAAATTATTGAAATGGTTAAAAATTTATCTTAATTAATGCCTGCAGCCTTTAAGTGTCTTTCTTTTGCTTAACAGAAATGACGGAGCAACAATTACCTGCTAACTAATTCAATAAAAACAACCAAATTAAATAATGCTGATATTTCAATAACTTCATGAGACTTCATATCGATATTCAAATGAATAACAAAACATATCTAAAGTCTATTGACCCAACTTTGATCAATGAAAAGCATAATATCTTATCCTTAAATTGTATGATCTGATTATTTTAAAGTGAAAGGCAAAAAGTAAAGGTTCCACCGAGATTTGAACTCGGATCGCAGGATTCAAAGTCCTGAGTGCTAACCATTACACCATGGAACCCTTTTTGTTTACAAGTTCAATTTAAGCATTTTGTTCGAATTTATCTTGTTAATTAAGTTTGTTAAATATTACAAAAGTCAAACAGCTTCACTTATCTCGAATGTAATCATTTGTAACGTAAAAGAAATGATGAATTGATTAAATGGGTGCACTGAATATCGAAATGTTATTTATGTCAAAAATTAAAGAATGAAACATTTACTTTAATTTGATTTAATTAAAACAAAAACTGTTTTTCAAAGATCTTTGAATCAAATAATCTGTGGAAAAATTTACAGTAATTTTAGTGTCATCTGTTGGCGAAAATTGTTACTACAGCGAATCATCTGTTACTCCAATGTGAAAATCAGTCTGAATCTCAAGGTGTTATCAGGCAGAACTGTTTGATAAGTTTCAATAGTTTTATTATCTATAACCTATTTGACTTTGTTGTTCTTTGCAATCTAATAGTGTCTTTTGTTGGGTTTTGTTAAATTATTTGCATTATTCACTAACTTTGAACTATCTCAACATTTCAATCATGGCTTGTAAAGTTGGAAGATTGGTTACCAAAGACTCTGCTTTGTTTATATGTGATATCCAGGAAAAGTTTCGTAACATGATTCAATTTTTTCCTGGTATCTGTGAAGTTTCTTCCAGACTTTTGAAAGCTGCTAAAATTTTAGATGTGCCTGTTGTTGTTACCGAACAATATCCTCAAGGTAATTTTCCTTTGATTCAATGTAACTCATAAGACAACAAATTTATTACTTAAGTTTTCTTGTTTTTTATTCTTACAGGTTTAGGCAATACGGTTCAAGAAATTGGATTAGCCAATTATCCTGATATTAAAACTATTACCAAGACTCAATTCTCTATGATGGTTCCTGAAGTCGTGGATTTATTGTCTAAACAACACTCAAATGTTAAATCGGTCATTTTATGTGGTATTGAGGCTCACGTATGTGTCCAAGGAACTTGTCTCCATCTCTTAGAAAGAGGATTCGGTATGTTTAAATGCTATATATTGCCAAGTTTCTATTAAATTAAGTTTTTTATCCAACGCAATCTATTTCTTCACTATTAGATGTTCATCTGGTTGTTGATGGTATCTCTTCAAGATCCAACGTTGACAGAATGTTTGCTTTTGATCGAATGAAATCAGCTGGAGCTTGGTTGACTACTAGTGAAGCTGTGATTTTAGGACTAGTTGGTGACGCTTCTCATCCACATTTCAAAGCATGTCAGAAACTAATTATTAACCCACCACCTGATACCGGATTAAGTAGCCTGTTTTCATCTAAAATATGAATTCATATCTGATTTGAACATCAGTCCATTCTCAATTTTCAGATTTACCTGTGGATCTTTCCTTCTTATCAAAGAAAAGCTCCAAATCTTTGGTTTGTTAGTCTTAAGATTCTACCTTGTCTGAAACAAATCATGGACAAACTTGCAGCACCGAACTCAATATAATATCTAATTTAAATGATATATCTTTTTTTGATTCAAATTATGGCAAATCTAAGTAGTAACAAACCTAGTGGAATTAAGTGAGTTTATAGTCGAATTGAAGCTTTTGCGATTTTTGACTAGAATAACTAACTTTCCCATGCAATTTCAAGAATTCATGTATCTTGTAAAATCAGCAATATCCTTTGTATCTGTCCCAAAACTTGATTGTTACCTTGTTCAAATTTTATATAAATTGTTTATTTTCGTCTTTCACTAAAACTATTTTCATATTTGTCTATTAAGTATGTATCCGTAGATTTGCCTTATATGATCGTAATAGATTATTATTAATAATAAAGTTAAATTTTTTAAATCAAGAGATTTGTGACTCTAATTAGTTCGTTCAGCTATTTTGAAAGTGCATCCTGAAAGGCTTTGTTTCTTCCAATTGCTTAGATGAATCGCTTCAAGCTTTATTCAAGCTCAATCTTTTGTATTAGGAGCTAAACTTGGGTAACAGTTCCAATCAGGTTTTACTAATTTTAGGACCTTTTGTTTTAATAATCAGTTGATGATTTGAATGTTAAGGATAATGCCATTTTTGATATTAATAGACTCAAATCGTCCTACTATAAAACAAGATGTCTTTTAATTTTTGAAGATTACTTTGATCAGCAGAATGTCAAGATCACTTCGTATCTGCCTAATCCTTTTACTAGTGATATATTTAATAACAATATGTAATTGTAAGAAGAAAAAATCTTCTAAAAAATGTGGAATCAAACTTGTAGCTGTTGAGCGGATAAAATTTCAAAAAGTTCCAGTGATGTTTCCAGAAAGTCAACAACAAGAAAAGGATGAACAATATTTGCTTCACCATCATCAACAATATCAACAACAAATGAAAAACCATCCAAATGATATTAACCAACAACAACCAAATCAAGGACAGAATCGCCAATACCAAGAAGAGGAACCTATGGACGATGATGAAGAAGAGGAAAATGAAGATCAGTACCAACCTGGACACAACAACTTCACTCCATATCCATATTACTACCAAAACCAGCAATCTAACCAGGATTTGATTTCCAATAACCATGGATTTAATCATGTTTACAATTCACTTCCACCTAACGCAAGGATAATCAATATCGACTGGAATCAAATCAATAAGAATTAAATTTAATTGTTCTTCCTAAACATGTAAAAATGACTCTAGAATTGAGAAAGTAAGTTGATCAGTTTGCCTCTTAAGCTTTGAAATCTCAATATTTACTGATCAATTTTATCCATAACATGTTTGGGTTCATAAAAAATAAAGTCCGTTGAGCTGACAATAAACTATGATCATTTGATATCTGTAAATATAATTGTGATTATTGACTTAATTTTGATTGCTATGCATTTCATTAATTCATCATAAATTAGCAACTCACCGGTTGCTGAATACAAGCCATTATTTAGGAACTCTTTTGTATCTAAAAACACAGCTTTTGATTGCATTTTATGTTGAATTTTGAAAGATAAAAGAATCAATCAAATGTAATTGTATACAAATCAATGAAAACCGGATCCCAATCCTAACCAACCATTTAAATTGTAACCATTAAATGACACTCTTTTGTGTCACTCTGATAACATTAAATTGAATGTTTCCTTGATCTTTACGCTTCTGGTTAAAGATGAATAAAAATAACATTTTGACAAAATGAAGATCTGTCTAAGTATAACAATTTTGATTCAATTGATCAACAATCTGTAAAGTGTATCAACTCAAACGATGAGTATTACAATAAAGAAAGCAAACCAAGTCAATGTTACAATTTAGTTGATAAAACATTAAGTAATTTGATGATTTAGTCAATCTAGACCTTGGCTAACCTTCCCATTAAACAGTAGTAACGTTTACTTGCCAGATTGCAATGAATAATTTCGGAACAATTCATTTGCAATTTAACAGTTGTCAATTAGTGTAATTTCATTAAATATCAGTTTTATTAAACATGTTTTATTCAACATCAAACATTACTAAAATTTTCTTGTGGAAACTTGAAGCCTATGATATCATCTGTTCATTACAACTTTACAATTTATATTTTGGTAAATATATTTTATTTGTGAATCTAACTTGGATTATTTAATATCTTTATTGTATACAAATCAATAAATTGTATTACTTTTATGTGTGTGTGTCTATCAATGGTGATAATATTGACTGATCTGCTGTTAACTTGAACCAATCTGATAATCATCAGAACCTGCCTTCACCAGTATTCATTGTGTTACTGTATCCATATTTAATCATCGTATTTTTGAATCTTCTCTTGACTTTGTTAATCACTGCTAATGAATTGTTAATCTTTACAATTGTCTTTTGTTTAAAATTGATAACATAACTGAAGCACTCTCAGATCATAGTTAAACCTCATCGATGTTTACTAATCATCAGTTTATATTTATCGTCTGCCACCAATAATCAAGTTAAACACTGCCAGTTGTTAGCCAATTTTAATGAACAACCATTTCTTCATTGACAGTAAAAGATAAGCTTTAATGTCAAATATTGATACATTTTGTGGCTAATTGTGGTCCACTCAAACAGAGCTACTTTCAGTATTACAACTTCGTTATTAAAGTAATTCTGTGATAACCCAATAACAACGGGAAAATGAGTAAATTAACACTGAAATTTGTCATCTTTTTCCTGGTTGCTCTGGTTTTACCCAACAAAAGTCAACAGCAAGATGTCGAGTTTAATTTATCCCTTTACAAGATTGGCCTCATGACTGATAGTCTAGACTATCCTAGCGATGAATTTCAAATTTGGACTCCTTCATCACCACCTGAAACTCAGTTAATTTTGACATCTTTATCATCTTCACAATCTTCCTCATCACTGCCAGTCAAGGATATTATGAGCGATAATGTGAGTATTCAAATTTCAATTTCTCATCCCCTTCTTAGGCCTACAATGTTTACATTTACAATGACTACCAAGGCCCATTTGCCAGCTAATGTCAACTAATTAGACATACTAATTCAATTGCTAGGTTCGTAATAAAGGCGGCTTTTTGATTCACATTTTCATCTTAATTTACACTTCATTATCACTGGCATTGTTATGTGATTCTTATTTTGTTCCTGCTCTTCAAGTCATCAGTAAAGGTAAGTCCATGTTTAATCAAACTTGTCCATAACATTAACTGATGACCATATTTTTAATGAAAAATTTTGTCAAATTTTCTCATATGCTTACATTCAATAGCACTTTCATATCATCTTATGGAATGATATTTTGGTGAATCTTTAAGAAATAGAGATTTATTAGCTTACAGATTTGAATTATTAGACAAATTGGCATCGAATTGATGAAATTCATTTTTAAATGGTTAAAAATAGATGTAAATTAATCACCAAGCAGCCTTTCAATCATTTATGTCAACCTTGCTTACCTTGTTAGATAATTTCCATTGGTTTTATTGCCTATCAGAAATGACGGAGTAACAATTACCGACTAACTGATTGAATACAAACGATTAAATTGAGTAATGCTGATTTTTCATTAACTTCATGAGATATCATATCGATATTCAGATGAATTTTCATTGCCAGAACAACAAAACATATCTAAAGTCTATTGACCCAACTTTGATCAATGACAAGTATATTTTATGCTATCTTAACATATCATCTGATTATTTCAACGGTTTAATAATCATTATAGATATTTTTAATAAATTGCAAGAATTAACAAATGTAAATAACCTTTAACCAGCAATCAAAGATAGACTTGGTGGTGTGGCTCGCATTTCTTGTTTAATTAAGATAACAATTTCACGAGGTAAACTGTTGTCTGTTTAAACAATTGACCCCTCAATTATCATTAAAAATATCAAATCAAACAAATGATTCTCAATGAAAATAGCAAACTCAATGATAATATCAAGACTGTTTAACCGGGAAATCAATCGTTTTTTAGATTTGCTTCATCAAAATACATTTTAAGCCAAAAAAGGTTCAATAACGTTTTAACGTAACAGCAAGACAATTAATTAAAATCTAATTAATATCCTGTTTACAGCGATTGCCATTTGAAATACCAATTTGTATCACTTATTCAAGATCTAATTGTATTGTTATTCAAGTACATTTAAGTACATTCAAGTCCAACATTGAAAAAAATCAGGAATATTCAGCTTCTAGATGATAATTTAGGTGCAAAGTACTGGTCTGTGTGAACCAGCTTCATAATGTTAAAAGCAAATGTTTACAATCTGTTGAGCAGATGATTTACTGATTACCACTGATTATGTAAATATTAATAAGACTGTTTGATGTACCATTTGACAGGATTGAAGATTCCCGATGACGTTTCTGGAGCTACTTTAATGGCAATGGGTACTTCAGCGCCCGAATTGTTTACATCTTTGATTGCGCTTTTTCAAGGAGAGAGTGACATTGGTACAGGTGGGTTAACTGAGGAAGAAACTGTGAATTGAGAAGGAAAAGAAGACTAATTATTCAATTTAAAACAATTAGGTACCATTTTGGGAAGTGCAATATTTAACCTTGTTGGTGTTCCGGCTGTTTGTGGTATATCTATTTATATTTGGGGTAATAAGCCATCCAAAGTGTCACCATTTCCCGTCGTTCGAGATTCAGTATTTTACGCTGTAACCGTATTGGCACTTTATCTGACACTTAAGGACAATATAATTGATTTGTAAGTCAATTAAAGATGAAACCAATATAATTTGAAATATTAACCTCTCACAATATTTTTACCAATTTTTGTTTCCATTTTTTTAAACCAATAATTTAGGCCTGAATCAAGTGTATTGATACTCCTCTATGGAATCTATATATTCATTATGTACATAAATTCACGAATTTCCGATTTCATATCCAGTCTTGTACCAGACTTATCCCTGGCTTCATCGCCATCATCATCATCATTGATTAACGAGGAGAAAGGTCTTGTTGATAAAAATGTTCAAGTTGAAAACATTTTAAATGTTGGCGGTAAAATTAACCTATCAGCTGAGTATCTGCCAAATAACTCATGTAAGTTGTGTGAAGAGGACAATTTGTTATTTATTTTTTAATGTTAATTTGACTTTGTTTATTAATATCTTCAGATGGGTCAATCAGTGAAGCTGGAACTGATGAAGATGTCGACTGGATCATTGAGATACCATTTTTGAAGTATTTCCTGGCTCCTATCAATTTTGTTTTTTCAATCACAATTCCTAATCACAATAGATGGACAACTCTATCCTTTATCATTTCATCAGTTTACATTGGATTGTTAACTTATGTCGCTGTCTGGGCCGTTAATTTATTAGGTTAGTCTTAATGACTTTGGTTAAATTTCAATTGTTTAACTGTCAATTTGTATTTTTTTGTTCAATAGGATTCACTTTGGGTATTCCAGATGCAATTGCTGGTGTAACAATCATGGCTGCAGCCTCATCAGTCCCTGAACTGGTATCAAACGTTATTATAATCAAGAAAACAGGTAAACCAGATTTAACCAAATTTTTGAAATACATTTGTAATCTTTCAACCAGAATGACAACCCATGAATACCTAATCAATCATAAGTTTAGATTTACTGACGTTTAATTACTGGGGAGGAAAAAATCAGATTAGACTGAACCAAGTTAAGTTTGGAGAAATAATGATCAGCTCATAATTAAATGATAGAGATTTCAGCAATCAAAGGGAATACAATAAATGTGCCTAATTACTCAGTCATTATAACTATAAATCAGTAATAAATTAATCATTGAAACGTTTTCTGACGCAAATCAATCTATTTGTGGGAATCTCAGGATATCAAGCTTTTCACAAGTTCAATACAGATAATAATTTGATTGTATTTCAAGTACTCTTCCTAGTAATTGTTTTGATAAATTATTTGGTAAACTCATTCTGATAACTTTTTTTACGTTCACAGGTAAAGCAAACACTGCTCTATCCAATGCAATTGGATCTAATGTGTTTGATATCTTAATTTGTCTTGGAGTTCCTTGGTTCATTAGGATTGTAATCAATTATTTTCAAAATATTCATCCAACATCTATTCATCTTCAAAGTAAAGCATTACCAATAACAACACTATCAATTTTAACTGCAATTTTGGCTCTTCTGGTTATCTTGAGGATAAGTAGATGGAGATTAGGTTTAAGTGTTGGATTAATGTCAACCATGGTTTACATCATATTAACTGTTCTCAGCTGTTCACTTGGAGTATCGATGTAATAATCAGCTAAATTAATAACCTTATTTAAGAAAAGGTTGAATAATCAATCTCTGTTTTACCTTAAAGTGATCAATCTTTTCCTGACTAATGTAAAAACTTGAATCAAATCAATTTTGAAAATCTAATTATTTTTAATCAATAAAATGTAAACCATTGCGCACAAATTTAACTGCTGCTTGATTCAGTATTTCTTAGGAATGAGTTGACAATCAGAATTTCAACAAAATGAATTTAAGCTATAAAAGTATGAGAAATTTTTCTCCAGCAAAGTTCATCACTTTACGTAATTGTTTCTTCATATTGTGTCTCATCGGGTGCTTTTTGCAAGTCAGGAAATTGGTTCGTATCTATGAAAATTTTGATCATATTACTCGAGTTACAATTGAAACTCGAACAGAAACTATTGTTCCTGATTTTTCAATGTGTTTTGAGCCAATGTCGTTGATTGATCCTGATAAACTTTTTAAACATCAACCTGAATTTGCAGCATCTATTGGAGTACATGACACCGAATCTTGGCTCAAAATGCTTCAAACAAATGGGAGTACTTTGAATTATTTATTGACAGGTAATTTGACAATCAAACAAATTACTGATTTATTGTATGAAACTGGAAGATTCATTGAAAGTGTTGAATTATCAGCTGGTGGAAGGAAACCTGTCCTCGATTTATGTAAAGTGAAACGATTCTACAATGCCGGGCATACTTGCATTTTATTGCAGTTTAATCACAGCAAGTCACAAGAATTGGATCCTCATTTTGAGTTGAAGAACAATAAAAATTTTCTGGCTCGAATTTCTGTTCAACAAGGAATAGCTAAACATATTCCTAGGGCTTTCTCAACACTTGTCGAACCTGACACTCTTCCTTGGGATCACAAAGCCACTTGGGTCAATTTACCACTCCAACAAGAACCATCTCGAATACCAATCGATTTCCGAACTATGAAGAATGAATATTTACCGCATCCATATCGAGCTCAATGCATTACTTATTCCAATCTCGGTTATAAAAGTCAAGCTGCTGCTCGGAGTGAATGTCTCAACCGTTTGTCGACTAAATTGCTTGGTAACCCGTTTCATTCAGCCATATACGAAGCAAACTTGGATATGTACATTGGTTCCTCTGCTTTTGAAAAAAATCAGGCAAATAAAACATATGTCAATATTATTGGTCAAATAGTTGTTGAGTGCTATAAGAAATACAACAGAAAAGATTGTATTAAAACTGCTATACTTATTGAGGTAAAACCACCAATCCATGCTAAGGAAAACAGCACGATCCAGTTGGAATTTCCTAAAGGTCCTAATATATTTATCCGACAAGAGCCAGCGTCCACATTAACTGAATTGATGATTTCGGTTGCAAGCATAACGACTTCGTGGTTTGGGATATCCCTTACCGTCCAAATTCAAAAGATCGTTTCCACAGCGGCAGCATTGACAAACGCTATAAGAAAAAAGAAAAAATTAGTCAACGAATCCAAAGTTGAATATTTTGATGAGCAAAACAATAAAAAATCACTAGCTCCTAAGAGACTTGTAAGCAATCGTAAAATGTTCGAACGCCGTGATTACACTAATAGACTGTATATTTTGGCTTACCAAGGATTAATTCACGAAAGTCAAGCAGCTGAATCATTTGGAAAATTCAATCATCCTTTTCATTACTTGGAGCAGGATGTAACAAGAAAAATGAAAAGGAGGGAAAGTCTTAAAAATCAACAAGATTTCACTAATCATTGAGTTGTTTGAATTCGTCACAATTCTTAGTTTTCAATATGTACTCGACACTTTTAAACATTTCACTATCACCATTAAAAAAATTATTTCTACTTTAAATTATCTGTAATAAATTAGAAATATAATTATAAAATTTGGATCTTTATTCAATTGATTGCAAAACCGGTAAAATTTTTGCTTTGGTATATTTCTTAGATATTCCCCAATAGATGGCAGAAGCTGTGAGGTTACCAAAACACTTGCATTTACAAAATTAATTTCTAGTTAATTCCGATTATTAATTTATTATACAAATGTAAGTTTAATTAGTGAAAAAATGCTGGATATTTGTGCAAGGAAGTCAGTGTTTGACTTAATTTTTTTACATTGCTGTTCTTTGCAATAATTATCGACAGTTTGTTAATGTTATCATGTTTGTTTGATGAAAAAATCAACGAACGAATTCATCTTTTGAAATTATCTGATAATCAATTCAATTCTGTAGTGGATGAATTTGACATGAAGTTCGATGGTCAACCAAGAATTAAAGATAAAAAAGTCAATCTTAAATGGAGGACTGGGATTGATTAAGAATACATCAATTTATAAAGTAAATAACATGCAGGTTAACATAAGATGAAATAGAGATGGGAATTGTTGTGGTTATCAAAATAGTCCAGAGATGATAATTTTTCTTACATGGTCAGTACTGAGAGATCTTTTTTAAACAACTAAATTTGTTTTATCATCATGTTAATTAAATGATCAATATCCAGTGACTCTTCAACTATTGATTAGGGAATCAGAGATGATCCTATGAGACGCAAAATTTATCCACTTAGACGAGAGACTGTATAAAAAGTAGAGGTAAAAGATTTACAAATGTGAACAGAAGAGTGTTATATTTGGTTCAGTCATGTTGATTCGTTTTTCACGTTTGAACACGATGAGGATGGTGAAGATGATGATGAAGGAGGAAGGAAAGATGACAATAGGAAATATATTTTTTTTGTATATAAAAGGAAACATTGAAAAGCTCAAGTAAAAAAACAAGGTTCATCAATAAGAATCTTCATTGACCGTCTCAATGGACAGTGTATAACAAAGCCAAATATAAAATTGAATCCATGTTGAGGTATATTCTCAGGTGACTGCTTCTGATTCTTTTCTTACTCTCATTTTCACCTTTATACTCTCAATTTATTTATATAACTATCTATAGCAATCTGTACCACATTCATTTTTTTCACTTCATTTTCAACCCATTTTGTTTTCTTTTTTTTCCCTTGTCTTCAACTTATGTTTCCCTCCATTTAATCTATCCTCAACCTTTACTGTTACCTTGTTTAACTTTATAACCACCATAGGGATCTTTAAATGCTCTCAATTCAATCTGAATCTGTTCTTTTGGGCTCATTTCTTTGTTTGCTTTATCACCATCTCCTTTGAAGTAAGCAAAATATTACATATCGCCAATTGATCAACTGGAAAGATAACCATAACCTGGTCAAAATCACCGCAGGTAAGCCAAAGAAATCAGATTATAAGCCACCTCGAATTCAATTTTTGCTTTTCTTTTGCCCAATGAGAAAAGCAGAAAATATCTCAATTATATAAATACTTTGTTCCTTCCAATTTATCCACTGAACTATCTGATAGACTTTCAAATCTTTTCAAATCTTTCGAAATTCCAGTGATTTTTTGTCCAATTGTACAACATTATAAGCTTATCCAACCAGGTTGCATGATTCAAGTAAGCAGTCTTTGAATGCCAACTAATGCCAAGTTACCATTAAGGGAATTGTCAACTGGGGTTGTATTAATGAGGAAAACCATAAGCAGACTAAAGATAAATATCAACCAATGAACAGCATAAGTCAAGGGATCAATTGCAAACATTCCGGTCATGGTTAGCACTGAATCAAAGGTCGAAACTCGAGATTCTTCTTGGACGTTTGCCTTTTCACCATTTGCCTTGGTTTTGTCTCTCTCTTTACAAACTCATTTATTATTTCACAATGTTCCTTAACCATGTAAAAAATGTTTCATGTCCGAGTTTTCAACTGACTTCTGAAATGTAATCAATATTTAATTAGTTTGTTTGTTCTAGATTGTATTAACAAGAATCACAATCAATAATTGATGTAGTCTTCAGTACTCACCCCAATTTACTATCATGATCTTTAGTAATGTTGAGTTAGTAATTTGACAAGTTTATGTGTTAATCGATTCATCATCATGTCCGAATCTGTGAAATTTTTATAAACAAAAAAAGCATGAGAAATGACAAAATAAAAATAAGGCGAAACATCAGAGTTTGGAAGCATTTTTAACATATATAAATGTGTAATCATGTGTTGACAATGCTACTGAAAAAAATCTATATACAATTTGTTTCCATTATTTTAGCCAATTTAGTAAATAACAAATTGATATTAAGACCAATTTTTACCTGGTCAGGATTAACTTTTAATCAAAATCTAATGTTAACTATACTTTATCTAATTTTTCTTCTCGATTTAACTTCATTTTTCTTAGCTTTGACATTTAACTCAATTTACAAGCTTTTTTGCAGGTGTAAATGTATAAACCATCAAAAATAGCAATAACAACATTGAACCAAGTTGATCCTTTGAAATAATAAAAAAAAGACTAACTGTAAAAGCCAATTAACTGATTAGTTTTACTTTATCGTTTTGTCCACCTTCAAATGTCCATTGATTGTTACTTTCGTCTTTCTTTATCTTCCTTTTATCTTCCTTATTCTGTGACAAATTTTCAGCTATTTTCAAGTCTTTTCAGGATCTAAACAAGTAAGAAATAAGAATGAATTGAATGAAATGTAAAAGATATTTAACCTGCAAGATCAAGTCTCAGATCATTTAACTTGCAGTCGATAAATGAATTTGATGACTTTTTCGCTTTAAATGCATTTTGATCACAGGTAATCAGAAAATTAAATTGTAAAGAGTAATCTTACTTTACTCTTTGTTAAATTGATTGCAATTGAATTGCTGTTTATCAACTTGTAAATATGGTCACCAGATTATTGCTAATTTGATGTAAAAAACAAAACCCAAAATGTCACTCCTCCAGGCAACAGCTTTACTTGATATAAAATGTGATATACAATTAGCTCTCGATAATAACATAACCTGACCAAATCGTAGGACCGCTATTATTTTGGTCTAGTTGAGTCATTGATCATCAATAATACGGAACAATTACCAGTATTGATAGTGAACCATAGAGTTGAAGTAAATCTGAAAAATTGAAATGAAAGAGACAGAGAAACAAAGAGTAACAAAACAAATAATGATGGTTAAAAGAAATGCAATTAAATGGTTAATAAACAAATTGAATGAAATGAGCAACACGGAAACATAAACATGGCAAAAACAAGGCGAAAGATGATAAGGAAAGAAGAGAAAGCAAAAAGGAGAAAAGAGAAAGAGAATCAAAACTGATTAGCCTCTTTTTATATTTCAGCTTGTGACATTGAATGAAGCGTATAAAGACTTTATACAGTTATAATATTAACTTGTCTTTCAAGGCCAGATTAAGACCTTTAAAAGTATCGCTACTGTATAAGAGACACAGTATGTCGCTCTTTACTTGTACCGACCTCTCTGATTCACCCCGAGTTATTCCTCCTCCTCCTCCTCCTCCTCATCTTCATCTCTAGCCTTCTTTCATTTGAACCTCTATCAACTCGATATCCATATGTTGCTCACTAGCTTTACTGGCTTCAACTTGAATTCAGCTCATCCTTGCCAATGAATATAATGTATTATAAATATACACACACAATAAAATTGTAGTGTAAAAAATTATTTGTTGTTGGTCGTAAATAAATAGGAAAAGAAAGAGAGTCCAAAAATGAGCAAACATGCTGTCCAACAACTGTATAATTGCGGCCTTTTCTTTTCCCTTTCGATGTTGCTTTCGATTTTGCTTTCTCCTTGTTCCCCCTATTATTCGAATGAACATCTCTCAATTTGATAGACCTCAATTTTCCTTGAGCTTCATTTGCCTTGTCAAATTTGGATTTTTTTCTTTCATTGCTTTTTCATCTTCCTCTTCCTTCTCCCTCTCCTTTGGATGGTTCCTACTTTGATTCAACCTGCTATAGCAATAATAATACAAAATACATATTAGTTGTTATACTACAATGACAATATAATAATAATAAAAAATCATAATAATAAATATTGTGCTGTTGAAGTAATAATAATAATAAACATGAAAATCAACAAACCTCACTCTATAGCAAGAAATATGCTTCATAAATATGTAAGACAATCAAGAGCTAATTTTATAGTACTTTTTTTAACAGCTTGACTGGTGACAATTATGATTTCATGGCTTTATAATTGCCTGCTTTCATTTTTTATCCCGTGCTTTGTTTGCAAGTGAATACTCCAAATTTGTTTGAATGGTAAACAGCAATTCATTTGTTTTCGTCAAGCAGATTTCGCGAAAAAATGAACTGCAGATTAAATTGAACGGCTTCTAAGATACTCGGGCCAAGGAAAGTTTAACCGAAAAGATGAAAATTGTTATGAAAAAGGTCCAAAGGACAACATAATCCTTCCTCCTTGGAGACACATTGGCTACTAGATTAGGCTGAAATCCTTGAGAAATCTGTAAATCACTGGTGTTTGCGCCAGGATGGAAATAAATGCAGAGAACAGCCAGAAATGGTCAAATGATGAACCAAATTAGAATCAGCTAATAGTCATTTCAATTCACAGATTGTCAACAGATGAACACGGTCAAGTTGGTGTAAATACATTGCAGTAATTGTTAATCCATTTAAAGCTCAGATGGAGTCTATTTCCAATGAATCCTTGCACCAGTCTTTATCGATGAGTAAAACAAAGATCCAGGTTTAGCTAATTTAGATGGATACCTAAATTTATGATAAAAAAAGTTGAAAATTGGTTGGAAAGAAAAAAAAAAGTTCAATTAGATTGTTATCCTTAAAAGATATTAAATAGGAAATTTATTAGATCTGTCTAAAAATATTTCCAGTGAAATTTAAATTAATTTAAATATTAACTAGAGTACATCAATTAGAGGCAAGTTAAGAGACTGTTTTGCATCTTTCATGATGATGATGCCTATCGTTTACTACTGAAAATGGTTCATAAAAATCTAGTCTATTTACCATTGTGTACATGGAAAAAGGAGCAAAGCAAGTTTATTTCAATTAGTTTAGCTTGAAGCAATTTAACAAAATAGAATCAACATTATCTCACACTCTGAACCTTATTTTTCATGAAAATCTAAAAAAAAGGAAGAAAAGAACCTCTTATCATGCATAGTTTATACGTTTGCATTTATTTCTTTTGTCTTCTGCTCATTTGTATATTAATTGGTGTTTACCTTTGCTTTCTCATTTTTATTACTTACCTTAATTTAAATTAATTTGCTTCGACAATCCATTCTGTAACATCTTTAACTCCTTCCCTTGACTTGTTTTCAGTTGCAAACCAATTTTAAATCTGATTATGTTGGCATACACGCAAAAAAATACGAGATCTGCAGTAATCATCATGACTATTTACCTTTTAAACAGTGAAATAATGTTTAACCCTATTGAAGTAAACTATTAGATAAATAAGAACAGATAGATGAAGAAATAAATGAAAGGAGTGAACCTTACCTGAAAATTTGACTCTTTCATCATTTGCGTAACAATTCGTAAATCTCATGAGGAATTAAGAAGTAAATAGTTTCTATCAAGATGGGGCTAAAGAGAAAGCGTTTAAACTCCATAATTTCATCATTCTTCCAGGCAAAACAATTTTACCACCTAATTTAATAACGTTTACTTAAATATAAACATCATCATGAATGATAAATACACGTTTACAGATGATTACATTTAACCCTAAACTTAGGTCAAACAGCGATTGAACGCTTATCACTTTCAGGTTACATTTCAACGGTTAATGCATTTGAATGAAAAGCAAAGAGAAAGGTATAAAGAGAGTTGACAAATTAAATAACATAGAACAAAAGCTTGTCTAATTAATCTCAAATAGTGAATAAAGTTGACTTGAAATGAGATGAAACACAAAAAAAAAATTAATTAAAGAATTAAGAAAATCAATAGAAAGACAAACAAATTAATCAATAAACAAGAACAGAATATTGAATAACATTTCATGAGAGGGATTTCATTACATTTTTAATGGTTAATTATGTAAAAACTAGATGGCGTTAATTAATAATTTCTAATATTTTTCAAATCCTTTGTTTTTATTTTTGTCATTGATAAATAATTAAAAGTGGTAACTTATTATCTTATTTCAATTTCAGTGACAGTTGATCAAATAAATGGACAGGTTATCAGGTAGGATCATTCCTTCACCAATCATTCCAGTTGAAAATCAGCCGATGAAATAAAACCTGGATCTTAATGTAGAGACTTTTCGGGGACCCAAATAGCAATCCAATGAAGCAATGTAAGAACCAGATTTTGTTTTCAACTCTTTCTCCATTTTTCCGTCTTGTCTTGTGTTTCATCTTTGGGCAAACCAACCGTAATTATGGGCTTAATTATCTTACCGATTCTTGTACATCTATTGTTTTTAGGCAAAAAGTTTTGGTCATTTTCTTAATCTTATCCACCTGGCTCTCACAAGTTTGATCGGGATGGTTGAAATGATGTCGCTTAGCCTTAACAAATGTGATTACTGCGTTTGTCGATAGCATTGATTATGTTTCTTATTGAGAGGCAGAAAGAGTCTCAGCTGAAGAAACAACTATTGGCTTCTGATAAATCACCGAAATGGACGAGATCGAATAAACAATGAAAAAATTGTCAAATTTTTACACATTTTTTCAATGATTAGTTTTGGTATTGCATTTGTCTACAATCATCTTTCCAGGTCAAATTGTAAACACCATGACCTACTTATGCGAAGAAACCTTAACCAAAGTCAAATGTAAGTTTAACCTATCACTTAAATTATTATAACATTTGAAAATTTGTGTAAATCAATGTGTAAAAGATTAATTTTTTCCACCAAAATATCAGCAAATTATGTGAGAACCTGAATTTTCCCGTGATGATAAGAATCTATTTCTTTCAATTTTCATTCCATTTCCCCTTCTCTCCCTCTTTCTTTCATCTCTAATTTTATAATTAGACTGTAAAACCTCAAAAAAAATCGTAAAAAATTTTGACTTTTCAAGCCACCAGAAAATTTGTCTCAAAATAATCACCCTTAACTGTTGAGAGGGAAACAGATAGAGAGTGAGGTAAAATTGTGCCTTAAAAAATAACTGCAAACAAAACACTAGTGGTTCTGTTTAGCAGATAATGTGACTCTAAAAGTTAGGCTGATTAGTTGTATCATTTGCATGACTAGTCACTCGACTCGGTCAAGTGTCGACAGTCGGCCCACTGAGTGGGCCACATTCAGTAGGTCACGTGCTCTTGAGGCAATCAAAAAACAAACTTTCCCTTTCAACCAATGTTTTCAAAATGATAATAACAAAAGTACGTCGACAATTTTCCTCCTTTTTTTGCCCAATATTAACACAAGACTGATTTCCGAGTCAAGATCAATTATCCTGATGATTATTATTTTGCATTATTTATCCAGTGTTTACACATTTACCATATTATTAAATTGTTTTAGTTTCATCACTTTTCCAATGTTTCATTTTTCAACAATTTCAAGCCTTATTTGTTTCCAAAATTTGCATCCACTGATACCCAACCTTTTACCATTAAGCCAATCAATCTATTGATCAATTGATTGGTATAAAGTTGAAAACAATTAGCTTCAGTTTAACAATAAAGTCAATATTATTGTTCAACCAAAACCTGGAATTGTTTGAAACAAAAGTAAATTCAAAATTGATAGACTTTTTTCATGACTAAATTAAGGTCTAGTTTTGAAGAGACAGCAAAACCTGAACTAATTTGATGGTAAACAAAAAAGGGTGATAAAAAGGACCCTTCAATGCACAACCACATTGAAAGTTATTAACAATTTGGACAATATTTTACTTTTGATTTACTTTGATTTACCAGCCTTTAATGCTCCTCAAGAATCCTTAATTTGTTGTTATTAAAAGCCTCTAATCTACTTGAAAATTGACACTCCAATAATAATATAAAGCTCAATCTGTTGATTGTTAGTCTTCTCCTTGATATTCATCATTATTATCAATATTTATATTCATGTACACTTATCCTATTTTCATAGAGAGACACTTTTTTTCATTCAAGAGGTTATTTAGTGTTGTGTGTGTGTGTTGAGGGATTAACAGTTATTATCATTCCCTTTTTATGGTGAATTTTGCGTCAAGATTAAGCTACAAGCTTTTGAACCATTTTCAGCTATTGATGTGTCAAATGGTGGTCACATCTTGCCTGTTAGGTACAATTATAGCCATTAATGGAGAATAGAAATTGAAAAATGTCAAAAAGTAAAGAGTTAATTTAATCTTGATTTGGATGGATTTAGAAGGGAAAATTCAATTGTCTCCATCAATTAACTTGAAAATGATGAAATTGTAAATCACCCAATTAGACTGTAATCTCAACTTTAATGATCTTTCTGTTGTTATGCTAACACTTTGATCGACATCGTTATTGGATGCAAATGTATCCAAGCTTGGAGGGTTGAATATTTAAATTTGTTGCAATTACGATGTTAACAAATTTGATTGAAAGCAATGGCAAAAGTAAACATTGTTACATTGCTACAAAATAACAATTTTTCACGTTAAATTGTTACAGATTGAGATTGAAAATGAAAAGGTGAAAATGATGATCAATGATCATTAAGAATGCATGTAAAATGAGCTTCCCTGAACTGGTGAACCTGTGAGCCAAAAAAAACGAAACCAGTGAAACTAATCTGATCTGAAGCGATGAATGAACCTTTTCAAATAGCTTTTTAATCAAACATACACAAGAGATGAGGATAAAGAGTGAAGAGTGTATATCAGTTACTCAAGACACGCTGCCTAAGGAGTTAACATGAATGAAAAAACAACTCCCTGAAGTATCATCTTCCTCTTTTAAGTCCTTATCATCCGACAAGAGAAAGAGAAAAGAAAGAGAAGAAACAGAGAGTGTTTATCTTCCTTTGGGAGTGAAGTTCATGAGCTTTTTGTTGTTTTGCTTTACGGTGAAAAGGGTAAACATTGAGACTTTTACCCTGAGAGTTGAAAGGTAAGAGATGAACATGATGACTGGATGCAAAAGGTGGATGAAAGTGGCAGAAGATGGTTAACGGGTCTAATAACGCATTGACTTGAACATGGATTACGCACATTATCAGTCTCGAGAGGCTCGAGTTAAACCTCATTATTAAACATTTTTTGATGTCACTCAATTCAAGTCAACCTTTTGTAAATAAAAGGTGCTTTTCTCGCCTTTACTAATTGCCTTTTTTCACCCAAATTTTACCCAATTGTATAATGAAGACTTTCACTTTAGACTTTCAATTGTCCAGAAATTTCCATATTGACCTTTCGTTAGATGGACAACCTAAGATCGTTATTATTATTGACCTTTTCATGTCTACTGTTGGTGCAAGTGGCAATAAATGGAAACTATTTTCATCTCTTGATTTATAATATTTACCCAAGGTTTGATTGATAGAGTTTAATCGTAAATAAAAGGTTAATCAGGTTAATCTGTTGGGCTTAATGCAAGTGCAATGTAGAGACATTAATTATGAGATTTACAATTTACTTGAATGATCAAAGTTGCAATTGAAAGGCCAATGATAATAGTTATTGCGAGTTTCATTTAATTTGTTATTTCATTTTGTTATATTTTATTTGGCAAAAGTCAGACTCAAATATTAATAGCATCTAATGCGTGAAGCTTTTCAATGATTGCTTATAATGATTGTTAGCTGATTCAGTTGATGTTTTCAGAGTGTAAACTGAGATAGAGTGCGAGGTGTTGCTGGTGATTTTGTAGACAAGAATGAGTCTGGAAGAGAGCAAATCAATCGGTCGATTGAGTTGAGGGAAGATGAAGAAGATAGAAATGGCTGAATAAAGGATGATGAAGATGAAAAAGAACGAGAAAATTTTCTTCTTCTCTCATTCACTTCTCATTCTTTGAGCGATACCTTTTAAATGGATTGTTTCTTGACGATAAATGACCCTAAAAAGAGTAGTAATAACAAAAGTATCACCAACTTCATTTATCGACTGCAAGTTAAATGATCTGAGACTTGATCTTGCAGGTTAAATATCTTTTACATTTCATTCAATTCATTCTTATTTCTTACTTGTTTAGATCCTGAAAAGACTTGAAAATAGCTGAAAATTTGTCACAGAATAAGGAAGATGAAAGGAAGATAAAGAAAGACGAAAGTAACAATCAATGGACATTTGAAGGTGGACAAAACGATAAAGTAAAACTAATCAGTTAATTGGCTTTTACAGTTAGTCTTTTTTTTATTATTTCAAAGGATCAACTTGGTTCAATGTTGTTATTTTGGTGATTAAACTTGTTGATTGATCTCAATCTTGTTGTTTAAATATAACATAATAATATTGAAATTTTAAGTTACATTCTGATTGCCACTTTAATTGTGACTTTTATGAAGTGCTAATAGACTATGATATTCAATTTCGTTTTTTTCAGTTTTTAATTTTGTTTTTTTTTCTATTTTTTAGGTTAAATCGTTTCTTTTTTTGTAAATTCATGGATTTGGATTTGGAAGTAAATTTGTTGAAATTGATAATTCTGGTGAGTAATTGATTCTGGGATCATCTGGTTGATTGTTGTTTAAATTGTTTGTGAAATTAATGATTTGTTGTTTCTTTCATTTTTTGTTCTCAATCCAGGTTCCTTGAAATGCAGTCTGAAAATACATTACCTGTGGCTTATAATGACAAATTTATCTGAAATTGAGAGTAAACTTGAACTGAACTCAATGAGCCAAGGATGATAATATGGATGAAGGATGGTGAAAAGTGGAAAGCAAAGAAAGATGATAAAGGTTGAAATGAAAAGAGGAGGAAAAAAAGGACCAAGTGACAAGTAAAAAAAAGACAAGGAAAAAACACGGAAACAAAATACAATCAAAAAAAGATTTTGTGTGTCACTGAAATTAGTTGGGTGATGATGATGATAAGAATGAGGAAAAAGTAAAGAAGAAAGGCCGAAAGATACAAAGCAAGGATCATCTAAAAAAGAGCATCTTCCAAAATTGAACATCATATTAGGACCAACAAAAGGCTGGATAACAAGTTTAACAACACTTTTTTTTCGAGGTTGAAGCATAAGGATAAACTTTCCTCTTCTTTTGGCTTGGCTTATAATAGAGGAAAGACGAGATGATGCAGGGCTGAGGATGCAAATCGAGCAGATGGGGCAAAAGATGAGGACGATTTTGATGATGATGATGATGATTATGATGATGGTGATAAAGTTTACAAGAGACGAAAGGCTCGATTCAAATAGAGGGAGGAGATGGAGGAGGATGGGGAGGAGAAGAACAAGAATAAAAGTGAAAAAAGAAAGGAAAAATTAGTGTTCAGTTACAATAGCCATTTGATTGTACAAAGTTGATCACTTTGATTATGATGAAGATGATGTCCAAATGTTATTTTAGTTGAGGGTGAAATTACTATTTGAATGGTGAAAGGGAAAAAGTAATAATATAAAACAATGAATTGTAAAATTAGGTTGGCAGAGTAACAATGAAAATGATATTGGATTGATAAATTGAATGCCCTTTCAACCTTATACAACCTTTTTTTTCATTCAGACTCTACAATTTATATTATCATTATTATTATTAATGTTAGATTGTACAGTCTGTGCAGAGAAAAAAAAGAAAGAAGAAAGATGATCAATAAAACAAAAAGAGAGAGTAAAAGCAACTTGTTACTAGTAAACGAGTTGTTTTTGGTATCGATAGTGATCCTTATGTTAGAATAGTATATTTATATTTATAAATGTATATATATTTATATTTCTTGTTCTTCTTCTTCTTCTTCCATCATCATTTGCTTCCTCATCTTCTTTGATGGTGAGGGAGGAAAAAATGTGATAGAAAAATAATTCACTTTCTTCTCTGGTCTTCCCTTTTTGCCTCCTCTTCTTTCACTATCATCATTGCTCTTCACTCTATTTGACCCTCTCTTTACGTTTCAATGAATATTGTGCATGTATGGTTAGGTGGCGATATCAATGACTTTGGCCTCGATAAATTACTTCACAACCACTTGTACCTTTTGCCTTTGCTATAAACAACCTTCTCTGGATAACTTTGATAATATTGTTGCTCATGCATCAAAAGATTCAGCTCTTCTCCCTCATCATCATCATCATCAAGAACATCTTTTATGCAATTTTCTAACCTCTTTTTTTTCTTCTCTTTCTCTCTTTCTCTTCTATCAATCTAGAGTTTCCAAAAAAAGTTACTCAATTTTTCTGTATAGGATTACTTTGATTGGATGAATGGTTAAAGGATAACGATCGTTAACTCATGATGACAATATTCATCTCTGTCTGTTGCATCTTCAAAATAAATGTCATCCTCAAATTAAGAAAGATGATAAAGATTTTGATGATGGTCAAAGAGATACTTTGCTTTGCCATCTTTTTTTCTCTTCTTTCACTTTTTCACCTTTTCTCTATCATTTACCATCTTTTTACCTTCAATGTTTGAGGAAGATGAAGGTGAAACCAAAAGATGAAAGAAATGCTGTATTTCTCAATTAATCAGACTTGACTAGCAAATGAAATTTTGTTTTTCTTTTCTTTCTCTTTTCTTTCTCTTTTCTTCTGACTCAATCAAATGAAGATCAAATTGGTGAAGGTGAAAAATGAAACATTGAAAGGATGAAATCAAATAGGATGAACCATGAGTGATAGACGATAAATGATGATGAAAACAATTTCGCAAAGTTAGGACATGAAAAATTTGAAGAACATCTAGAATCGTCTAAAACCATCGTCAAAATGAAACAAAATCATTGCTTGAAATGGCCATTAAAAGGTTGATCAAATTTTAGTAAATTTATTTTTAGATTTGGCTTAATGGACAAAATCCGATTTTACCATGATCTAGTTATTCAAGAATTCATATTGTTCTTACTTATTTCCATTCCCTAAACCCTATTCAAAGCTATCAAGCCAATTGAATAGTAAAACATGCCCAACCCTTTAAAGCTACCAAGTTCTGGCCAAAGATCAATTTGAATGACCATTTCAAGCAATGGATCTGAATCGATTGTCATCTCATTTTATATTTGTTTCAGTTGAAGATGAGTTCAGGCGAGACAGAACGGGAATCCCAGAAGTGGCGCTGTTCGTTTTGGACGTTCCAGTTGAAGCGAGAGAGAACCAGATTTTCATAAACAGATTTATCATTTTCTAAAATATTTTTTTCATTGCCAATGAAGTTTTGTCAGAATGAGCCAAAGATTAGCTCTAAGTTAGGTCAAAAGATGAACCTTTTTGCACTAATTCTGGTTTTTCTCATTCTAAATTGATTCCTTTTGACTGTAAAACAAATCAATATGATTTGAATGAAAAAAGATGATATTTTTCATTCATTAGTGTGGACATGAGATGTCATCGTCATCAATCAATTTCGTCTACATCATCATCATCATCCATCTCTTCTCAAATAATATAAAGTAAACAGAGAAAGATCATCAATAAACAAAGTTAACATACAGTAAACACACAGAGTTACATGTAATGCATCAAAACAGGTAACCAAACTAACATATTTATCTTAACTACTGCAGTTCAATATTATCTTTAGACGATTTTTTTTCTTGTTCACTTGATTGTTTGAATATTGAATTTTTCACCAGTATAACCATGTATTGTTGATTTAGTTTGTATATTTGTTTGCAAACTGCAACCTTAATATTCAATACTGACAATAAAGGATATGAAATAATGATTAGCTATACATTGATTAACTTTAATTACTCTTTCAAATTTTCATCCATAATTTGATTGCCACTTCTAATTATTTTTTTTCATTTCAAGTTAAACTATGATTTAGATTTGGTATTAAATATTTGGTTCTTGGTGAGAAAGTACAAGTTAATCATGTTTTATTGACATCATGAATCAGGTGAAAAGACTTTCCTCTCTCATTTCAATTATGAATGACCTGATGCTGTCCTGACTTTTATATTATTATTATTTATCATCTGGTGACCAGATAATAAGAATATATATGAGTCAAGTGAAAGAGTTAAGAAAGATGATTAAGGTCCATATTGTAAATTAATTAACCAACTTATGGATGAAAGACATGAAAATCTTGGAGACAACTGCAGTAACCCTTTACTGGTGCAAAGCCTTCTCTCTTAATGGACTTAGTACTATTGAAATCAAAAAGGATTATCTTTGAATAGAGTTTGATCCTGGTTTAATTATGTGGTGATAATAAAAGAATCAGGCAAGTAAAATCCAAGTTATTTTACTGAGTATTAACTTTACTTTTCATCATTATTCCAGATTTTGGGGTTAATCAAGATAAGAATGGTCAACATGGTTACTTGAAGAATGGAAAAGTATTTATAATAGAAATGACCATTTCCAAGTAAAGATGAGAAAACTGGATAAAAAAATATAAAGAAAAGGGTTCAATTAGAATGTGTGTAATCTTGGCGATAAATCATTTACCGGATTGATTGGTTCAACTTTTAGCGATTTCAATACTCACTTAATGATTGGATAAAAGACTGTAATTAGATTTGCATTTCATGTAAAAAATGTTTCAAAATTGGCTATGCTGGTGAGCCTAATATGGTTTTAACCGTGTTAATCCAATGAAAAGGCAAGATGATCTGTTAATTGGTTGAACCAGGGAAAAGTGGATTTATTTTTTTGTTAATGTGTGATGATAATAAATATCCAACAGTAGATAAAAAGTTATATAATGGAATTTCCATACACAGAACAGGAGAAAGTATGGAGATATTGAAGCAATTTTGATGGAGTTTTCTTCTTTACCAAAGATTCTCTCTGGAATAAGACCAAATTGTTTGTTGATAATAGCTCTGGGATTGATGATGAAGATGGCGAAGATAAATTCCAATGGTGAAATACAGAATGCTGAGAGAAGAGAAGCAAGAGAAAAAAAGGGTCAAAAGCAGTGAAGAAAGAAAGAAAAAACAAAATAAAACAAAACTGAAGATTGAGGTAAATTTGAGTTGCCAAATGAAAATAATTCTGATAGATATAAAGGGAAAATGAGAGAGTTTAAGATGAGAAGAGAGAAAAGTGAAGATCATTTGTTGCTCTATTCCAAAGGGAGTCCGATCTTCATTTAGGGTCTTCTTTTTTTTCTTTCATCTTCATCTTGCTTCTTCTCCTATAGATCTTATTTTAGCTTTCATTTCAAAGAAAGTTTACTTTTGTTCAATAAGTCAACTAACTGTACACTGTGGCTATTTCATCTGCAGGAATACAAGGAATGAGGAAGAAGATGAAGAACCCGAAAAGGAAGAAGAAAGGGCAAAAAGTTTCCTCATCATCAAAGTCATCATTTCTCTTCTCTCTCTTTCCCTTTATGTCTATCTCTATCTTACTTTCTCTTTCCCTGTCTCTCGAATATAAGATGAAACAAATTCCCATGAGTGTCTAAACGTAGTATTTTGCCGATGGAAATAAACGTGGTCCACTTTAATTCACAATGGAAACAGAGATAGACAGAGATGTTGGATGTGCAAAAAACAGGAAACCAAAGTGGAGGAACCAAGAAGAAGATGAAAGTGGAAAAAGCAGGGAAAAGATGAGAAATGCTGAGAATCATTGAAATGATCTGATCAACAGTCCAGAGTAAACTTGAAACTTGATTTTCATCCCTGTATTTTCAACATAATCCAATCCATCCTTTATAAGGCACAGTATTACAATTAACCTTATTGCCATCCTATTAGATTAATTTGTTACCAATGTATTAATGACTCTATTGATGTTTGTATTAATTATTATCGTCCATTTGATCACCTTGCTTTTTACCCACAAATGATCCTTCTGATTAGCTAATTTGATACTTTTCATGTAATTTAACTGCATCTAGAATGAAAATAAAAGAAGAAAGTTGTTTGCATTTAGTTGATTGTTGGCTGTGTTTGATGAAAAGGGTTGAAAAAAAGCTTGAAAGTTGTTAAAATAAGTTTAAAGAGTAAACATTTGCTAATCAAATTGTATCACTTTCATGGTTTTGATAAAAAAATATTTTTATCTTTATAATGATACAGTTTGAATAGTGAATTTGAATTAAGTTAACTGTAAAACGGAGCAATATGAAAAATAGAGAAGAGGAAAAAAAAAGGTTTTCAAGATGAAGATGAAAGTTAAAATAAGATTGAGATGATGAAGATAAAATAAAAAGATTGACCTGAGGGTATTTTGTTCAGTTATCATGTTCACTTACTTGCGGCTGATACTGATTATGAATAATAATAAAAAAGGGTGATCCTTATAATCGATTTAAGGATTACCCTTGAGGTTATATTTAAGGTTTTTACCTCATCTTTTTTGTTAGCTTTGTTACTCTTCATTTTGATTATCATGGAGATGATGATGATGATGATGATGATGCTGATCATCATTCACTAAATTATAATGAATATAATGAAAGTTAAAGGGAAAAAGTTGAACTTACAAGTAGAAAGTAATCATCATTAACAATCATCATTAAAGAGTAAATGTGATGTTGATGTTGGTGATGATGATGAAGGTGATGAGGATGGTTATATGCATATACATATGAAATAAAATAAAATGGGCAACTATCATTGAAGATTGATGAATGAAAGACTGGAGAGTTTCATCAAGGTATCATGGGATTTGTTTATCTTTCGTCATGATGAAGGTAAAAGATGAACAAGATGAAAAGTACACTTTGGGATAAATTATTTTTATAGTGACAAGTAGAAGTACTTAACAATTTGTATTGTTACAGTTACAATTGTGATCATCTCACTTATCAATGAAACACTTTTTATAATACATAATATATATTATAAAAATAATAATAACAATAATGATAATGTTAAGATGATGATGATGAAGAGGAAAAGGAGGAGGATGAGTTGCATGTTTGAAGGAGCAAGTTTAAGCTTTAGAGCAAGTGAAGCTCAAAGGAGAAACAAAAAAATGCTTTTTCAAAATCCGTAGAGATTTGGCACGTTGCTGGAACGTTAAGGGAACGGTTAATAAGCTGAGTGAATAGGTGAATGAATGTAAAGGTGTAAAGGGTAAAGAGTATCAAAACCATCATAACCATCATCATTACTCTCATTCCTTCGATGATTATCGAGTTAAGCTACTGTTTAAGAGGAGAAGGTAAATTCCTTTTTCTTGTTCCTGTTTGAAATTTCCATCCTTGCTTCTTTGTGTGTCTTGCTAATTACCATATTAATTCATCTTTACTTTTTTTGTTTTTTTGCCAGCCTTCCAAAATCTCCATAAGTTACCGGGTCAAAAGTGAAAGTGTAAAGAGTCTAAAGGTTTGTGGTTTTCGTGTTTAAAACAGGTAAACCAATTGATTGATTACCAATGGCCTAAAGGCTTTTCTAAGGTGCTGTTTCAAGTTTTCTCGGGATAGATTCTGTTGTCTTCTGACGGTAAAAAGCATGGTAAAGTTGCCATTGTTTTACTGACTCAAAACGACCAAGTTGAACCTCGTTATAATTACAATTTATATCAGCAAATTTCCAAGATGTCACTTAAAACAGAATATTAAATATATAAACTCAACAACAATCCAAAAGAATACCTAATAAATAAACAAAAAAATGATGAAATTAATATCCAAGAATTGCAGAATGGTAAATGTTAATCTGGAAAGCATCGGATTAAAAACTTACCTTTTAATCCCAAAAGATTGAACCCAGAAACATGAAGATTAACAGCCTACCGATGAAGAATTAACTAGATTAAGATTGAAACTAGAATTAAAAATGAAATTAAAATTAATAAACAATTGTTTCAGAAATATCCAGCTGATTGAAAGCTTTTAGACAGGCGAGAAAAGAAAGAGCAAGTCACACCTAATGTCGCAATCAATCGCCTTAATTTTTAGCCAAAAGATGGCAGGCAAATAAATAATTAAAAAAGCTTCTTAATTATCAAAAAATTGGTTAAAAATCAGTGAACAATTAAGCAAAAACACAACTACAAACGGATAAAACCATCTTCAACCCAAGAATAAAGTCGATGCAATTTACCTTTCACAATACAGTGTTTAGATGGCATAAAAAGGCTAAAAATTGAATAATTTTACAAGCCAAATGAAGAAGCCAAAGGTTAAATTATTGGCAATCAATTCATTTTAATTGTAACCAATGGTGCAATTTTAATCAATGAATTATCAATGAATTATCAAGGATGAAAATGAAGCTGGAATGAAAAGAGATGAAAAAGTGTCGAGAAAAAGAAGCGATGTAAATAAAGGGAAAAAGAGACAAAAGGTTGGCATACATTTAAATGCATTACAAGTGATGTTAATAACAGTTATATGATGAAGATGATAATGATGGTGAAATTGGTGCGCATCATGATGAACCTGAATTTGTATTGGTTTACTCCCTCAGGAGGAGGAGGAGGAGGTCAACATGAGATATAGGTGCACAGTCTCTATTGGGAGGAGTTGATCATCTTCATCTTTGTTTGTTTTCACTGTGTGTTACTGTTTATGTGCATATATCTTCAACTCTCACTTGACTTTATCCTTCATCATCATCTTTATCTTCCCTGGTCTCCCGATAATTTCACTCTCTCTCTCATCTTTCTCCATCTCTCTAATGTTCATCTGTAAAAGTGTGAAGGAGAAGAAGACGAAAAAAAGAAGACAAATCTTTACTTTCTTTAACCATTGTGTATGTTTACTTGTGTGTGTAAGTTGAATCTCAATGTTTTCATGTATTTCAAGCTTACCCTTTAAGTCTTTTTTAGTTCCAACCATTTGTGTGTCTGTCTGTTTTTTAATTGTTTACAATTGTATATCATTTAGTTGTGATTGTCAGTGACTTTATCCTTAACTATCTCTCTTTATCTCATCTCTTAGTCTCTCTCATCTAAATCATCATTATTGTCCTACCTTACTCAATGGATACCAGTTCAATGTTTGGATTAACAAATAATCAGTCCAATGTGCCACCCAATCCGGGTGATCGAGGTGTACCTTGTATGGCACCTTATCCTGTCTGGCCTGTTGGCCTGGGTCGAGCTCACTTTGAGAAACAGCCTCCACCAAATTTAAGGAAGTCTAATTTTTTTCATTTTGTCATTGCACTATTTGATAAATTTGGTCATCCAGTTGAAATTGAACGAACCTCATTTGTTGGTTTCATTGAAAAAGACCAGGTAAGGAAATTGTTTCAATTGAAATAAGCAACAACCAAACAAAATCTAATGTTGAACATTTTTCAATCTTTCATGTGACAACTAAATGATATGATTACCCTTTTTGGATGACCTTTTCAACTCTTTCCACTCGTCAACTTGCCTACTATTTTGTGCCTGTTTACATCATCTGTTTACACTGTTCATGGACCATCTTTACCTGTGCTTGTGTTATGTGAAGGAACCTGATACTCAAAAGACTAATAACGGGATACATTATTCACTTCAATTGGTTTATTCAAATGGAGTCCGTCAAACTCAAGATTTATATGTGCGACTCATTGATTCAGTAACCAAACAAGCAATCGTCTATGAAGGACAAGACAAGAATCCGGAAATGTGCAGGGTTCTATTAACTCATGAAGTAATGTGCAGGTAAGAAAAGAAAACATTGAAATGCAAAAAGAATGTCAACTTTTAGAAGAAAATTTTTCCTAATTTTCATTCTCACAGTAATGATCATTCCAATGCCAATTAGACATGAGAAATACATAAAATTATGAACAATTAGTAAACTTGTAAATTCCTTTCGGTGAGAATTCAGTTGAAAGTTCTAACCATAAATATTGTTATTGACTTTAAAGGCTTTAACTAAAGTCTAATGATGAAAATTGATGACCAAAGTTGATTCAAGTTCAATCCTTGCCTCTTCAACTTGAAGGGGAAATCAAATTCTAGAGTTAATTTCCCTCTCAATTTGACCATTTTTTTGAAATGTAACCAAATAAGGATTGATTTGGTCATTTGGATGAAAGACCAAACATTGAAAATGATTGGACAAGTTGAATCTGTTGACCTTTAAAGTTGAAACAAGAAAAAAAAGAGATGAAACTGTTTCACTTATTAGTCATTTATTTATGGTTAAAGTTGCCCTTTTCAGGCTCAAATGAAACCAATTTTTGCACTTTTATTCAATTTTATTCAATTTTCATTTCTAATCTTTTCTCTCTCTTCACATTTCCATGTTTCATTGGATTCCAATTGTCACCATGAAGTCGTTGTTGTGACAAAAAAAGCTGTGGTAATAGGAATGAAACACCCTCTGATCCAGTCATCATTGACCGGTAAGTTAAATATTATTTTGTGTCCATTTTGTCCACTCGAATGGTTCACGATCTCATGTCTGTCACCCAATGTTCACGTGACTTGGATTTTTAGCTTATTTTACTGTTCCTCTCTAATGAAACAAGATGAAGATTAAAAATGATGATAAAGGTTGAGACTTGAATTGTGATGATGATGATGATGAACAAAGGTGATGAGTTAACTTTGAATTGATGAAAGTCAGAAAAGCGTAAATTCATTTATATATAATAATAAGTTAATGTTATCTTGTTAAATTCATGCCCAGAATACTCATTAAGGTGAGGCAAAAGAAATTAAATTATTGAATATTAATAATAGTGATGAACAGTTAATTATCTTGATTAGTGTTTTCTGTCTTTAACTATTGTCCACTCAATTTAGGTTCAGCTTATGAACTTTAAATTGATTTACAAATATGAACACTTTTTTCAGCTCTTCACTTGAATGTCAACTTTGATGTTATCAGAAGAAAAAATAGAAATGTTTTCATTCTGATTTGTCCATCATTTTTGTCTCCAGAAGTTTGGTCAATCTTTGCTTTGAATGTTGGATGAAAGTGAATCCCTAGAGTGAGAGGTGGATGGACATTCATGGTTTCAATGTTGATGAAACTTGTGTCTGGTTGAATTTTGTGTGTTGACCAAAAAAAGAAGGAGAAGTTGAAAACAAATGTTGATGTAATCTGATAGTTAAACAAGATGCTTTTCATTATATTTTTATCATTATTGTTGTGCTTGGAGGTGAAACAGGGAGGAAGAGAGTTGGGATGATCAGTAAGGTAAGTAGGAGGAGGAGAGGGAGGAGGAGAAGGTTGATATTGAATAATATATTGTGGTGTTTGTACCATGAAAAGTTGTGGTTAAAGGCAAGAATATTTTCATCTCAATTTGCTCTCTTCTTTTATTGAGTTTCAATTGGAAACAAACAAACAACTTTTAAATTGCTAAAAGGCAATTGACAATTAAACATTTTTTATTCATTTACCTGACAATGCAATTTACTTGATTGAGTTGCTTTCAATTTTTGATTGAAAATTTTCATTTGGTTTTCTGTTTCAAGTTTCAAGAACTATTTTGATTGAATGTTTCATTCTGATTCACCTTGAATTTCAATATTTGATCGACCATGATTTTGAGCATAATATTTAACCACTCCCATAGGTATTTTATGAGACAGATAATTCAGTTGATGAGATTCCTAGTGAATTAGCTTTGATCATGTTAACTGTGTGTCTAAAAGCCCCAAGAGTATCTTTGGGACTTAATGATTGCAACGTCTCTTGAGTCACTAACAATTGGTTTTCCAGTTTTTGACCAGCCAACAAGAGAAGCTAAAAAAATAAAACTGATGATAAATTCCAGGAATGCCTAAAGCTATTCTCACAGGGAGTTTGATTTAATATTATCATATGCAATGTTATCTTATAATATGCTAGATGCTGCATTCATTCAAGTGCAACATTTAAAGTCAATTTTCATATTTAAATTGAATATTAAATACTTAGCATAAGTTGATAAATGATTTAGGCTCAATTGAGGTCAGAAACAAAGGAATTTTCATGGTTTATTAGCTAAATTAACCTGCAAACCAACATGAATAAATGCTGATTAAATAAAAAAAGCGATGAAAGTCAAATGGCTTACGTGAAGAGGCCAAGTTATGTTTAATTTGATCCTACGAGAGTCACTGTGCTAGGTTAAAATATTGCTGTCTTAGAGCCTAGTCACAATGAGTATCATGATAAAAATTAAGGTGAAAATGATGTTGAAAATTATGATGAGAATGATGATGAAGATGATCATGATCATGATGACAACAATTGTGATGATCATGATGAAAATGTTGAAAAAAGTGAGAATAAAATTGAGTAAAATTTTTGCCGTAAAGAGGGTGACTTATGTGTTACACTTGATGGGATAAGTGTTACTTTGTTAGGTTGAAAGATTGTTGTCTAATGGCTTACCCTTGATGAGGTGATGAAAATGATGTTAAAGATGATGAGGAAAAACAAACTTATGAATTCAGCTTAGCTACTTAGTTAAAGTGCTTAAGATCATCTTAAAATCTTCTCTATTTTTTCACCTTATCATCCTAATCATTATCTTGCTCTGGTTTTGTTTTAACTTGAGACTCTTTTCATAGCTTTTTACATTTATTTTGATGTTACTTTTTTTTGCACTGAACTGTCGAGAATGAAGTAAACTTTGTTCTTTTTTTTCCTCAACCTTCGCCAAAACATTATCATAAACCTTTCCACTTTACTTTAGTAAGATGATGATGGAAGATGATTTGGATGAGAGTAAAAAAACATAGTAAGAGTAAAAAAGTCTCTCTATAGAGTGGTTACAGGGTTGCACTGAAAGTTCCTATCAGATTATTTGAACAATTTTTTTCCTTCTCTTTTCAAATGTACTTTTTGTACTTTTGATACTTTAGGCTTTTCTTGTTGCTTGATTAACTTGCAAACTCACGAATCCATTTAAAACTTTCAACTTTTTCCTTCTCCTTTTTATAATCAACTGCAACTATTTACCATGAAAAACATCTTGATTCCAATTGCTATTCATTTCCATGGATGCTTACACTTTCATTAATCACAACTTGTTTTTCATGTCAATTGAACACATTCAATTTGTTTACTCACTTTTTTTCACCCTTTCAATCCTTTTCTTCAAACTGTAAAATGAACAAATGATTGCTCAAAATTATTACCGGTTTTATTCACTGTTAATCATGGAAGACATGAAGATATCAATATTTTGATTCAACTCGAACTGATTGAAATGTTGAATTAAAACCTTTTAACCTGATTATTTCAATGCTTTTAATATCAATTATTAAACTGCAATGATAATGGATAATGATACTTAATGATATCTTGAAGCTAAATTGCAACTCCAACTCGATCATTTATTCATCAACAATAGTAATGAGAATTGGATATTTCATATCCTTCCTGTCAACTGAACAGGTAAAAATGTTATCTGAAACTTTAATAAAAAGATTTACCTTTAAAGATGAAAATGTCTTTTGATGTGCATTTGCGAGTTGAGAAACTTGATGAACAGATTTCAAGTTGAAATTGACACAAAATTTGAATCTTGATGCTGACAAAAAAAGTTGAATTTGATGAAAAAAAGTTCACTTGACCATTGAAGGGAAAGGAAAAGTTGAGGAAAAAAGATGAAGATGAAGATGATAAAAATGATGATGACTTAGGCAATACTTTAAGCACAAGTGACATGCCAATAATCCTCAACTACAGGGTCCGCCACAAAACATGTCAGCCTGTATTTTTTGAATAACTTTTTTATTTTTTCGTCAATCAAGCTCATTCTCACAGAAAATAATCTTGAATAAAGGGGAAACAAAGATATGGACCGGTCAAATTTTTCGGGTATCGCAGGTCAAAATGGCGACTGCGCAAAAAAAAGTCATTTTCAGACCCAATGTTATTCAATGAGGCTTTCATAGACAGATTTCTGAGATACTATGCACATTTTTAAGTCCAGAATAACTCCATAGGGCTTTTCTTGCCCCTGGCACCTATTGAGTAGCAAAATAATACTGCTCCATCCCATCAATGCTTTATGCTTCAATTTGCTCGAATTCACGCATGATGAAGTGTCCTATTCAATCGGCTATAAATTGCTTTTATCAGAACGCAATGACAAAATTATTTCAGAACATTGGCAAGTGACTAACAAAGTTTGTAAAACAGTGCAAAAAAGCTAAAAATATCTGTACAGTCGAAAAAGATAGAACAAAAACCCGTACGACGCCCGAAAATTGTACCTTCATTTCGCGCAGGCGCAATTTTGACCTGCGATACCCGAAAAATTTGACCGGTCCATATCTTTGTTTCCCCTTTATTCAAGATTATTTTCTGTGAGAATGAGCTTGATTGACGAAAAAATAAAAAAGTTATTCAAAAAATACAGGCTGACATGTATTGTGGCGGACCCTGTAAATCCTTTCCTGATAAATGGATCTAAATCTCTGAATATCTTAGTTGATCCTTTTGAGTTTCATCCAAACTTGAACAGTAAATTGAAAATTGAATATTTCATTATTACTAACTTTATGATAATGATCGACGTTTTTTTTCACAAAAAAATAATTATTCTCGTAATTTAGTGGACATTTAATGATTACAATTACTTTGTTTCAATGGTTAGGAAAGGAAAGTTAATGAGACTCAATTTATGAATGATAACAATGAAGTTTTATTGATCACATTTGAGATGCAGAAAAGGCTTAAGCTAAAGGATTAACTTGATTCTCGTATTGTTCAAGCTTGATTATTGAATATATATTGTAGGTTTTACAAGGGATTTGCATGAGGAACAAGGTTAATGTACATTTTATCTTTACCTAGCTTTTTATTTTCATTGTAATTGCAAACCTTAACTTTGAATATTGTTATTTGTCAACATTTAGAGTTACCGTTAATGATAAACTTTGCATTAAAACTTGTTCTAGTTAATGTTGAACTGTTCAAGTGACAAACCAGTTAAGGCTTTAAATGCATTACTAGTCTTATTTCAGCTTTTATCGTTCATCATGTTCGTGCCATGGGAAAAGTACATTATCATTGTTTTTCATTTTCGAATCAATTTTTTCGTTCTTTTCAAGTTTACCTTTTTTAGTTTTCATTCGTGTTTCAAGATTTTCGACATCTGTTCAACTTCGAGTTTTAACGTTCTTTGTTTGTTTAAAAGTTTGTGGTTTTCAGTCAAGTTTTATAATTTGTTTTAAGGTTTTAAGTCTTTGCTTCTTAACCTTTCAGCTTGTTTATTCAACTTCTTACTTCGAGGATTTTCGAGTTTTAGGTGACTTTTTCGAGTCTTACAGTTCTTTTAAGATTTTTGCATTTTCTAACTTTGCTTAATCTTCGAGTTGTTTTCAGAATTTTCATGAACTTTCTTCAGATTAAAATATAGGTGGAACTTTTGAAGGAAGAAAATGTTTCCCTTCG